AACTCAAAACGAAACTCTTTTCGTTAATTATTTTTATTTTACTGATTATTTCTCCTGGTGAGCGGACCACTTATGTCGACGCTCAGGTAAATATGAACTCGCTCAATAAACAAAAAGAAGCGGACTGTATATTTGCACAATATTTATTTATTATTATTTGGAAGAGAGCTTTTTTGTAGCTCGTTACAGCTCTCCTTCCACACACACTCTCTCTCATTCAGTGTTACAAGTTATACTAGGTGGCGCTACAAATCCGTGCGGATACAGGTATATAAGGAGCTGCAGAGAGGCAGTGACTCCTATCATTCTTAGCTGCTTTAAAAGTCTTTCAACATAATAGGGATCGAGGATATTAGACCATTGAGCAATGAAATTAATTTGTCTATGCAGAGCCTGACTAAGGCAGGGGTATGCGGGGCAATTGCCCTGGGCCCCCACATCAGAAAGGGGTCTCAAATCGAATAGAAAGTTTATTTTACGCTTCCTTCTTTATTGAACTTTTTTTGAACAAAATATCAGTACACTGTAAAATCAGTCAGTTCTATGTTAACTTCTTCATTAATCTATCGTATGAACACAAAAGAATCTATGTTTTGTAAATCCATTGCCTTCTAGGGCAAATTTGGCCAATCATAACCCTTTATTTTTACATATCACAAAATGCGATATGTTTACGAAAATACAGGTTTCTGATTGGCTTAATTGAGCGATCGTAATTGTGAAAACTTAGTTGAATTCCACCGAGATGTAAGCAAGGATATGAATTTTTTGCAGCTAATTACAAAATTAATAATCAGAAAACTGAATTTCAGAGACTGCCTTCGCATGATGGACATAGCGATAGACCGAATTGACAGAACGATATTTTGTCTGACGATTGAAGGGAGGGATTTTATAGCGGTTGTAAGCTTTAGGCAATTTTCTTGTTATATATCTATAATGAAGTTAAAAATTTAAATACTTCCATAAAGTTCGGTTCTTCATTACTGAAGTATAGCAAATAGGGGTCCCAAAAGAAGATTTTGCCCCTGGCCCCAATCAAGCTAAGTCGGACCCTGTGTATATGGGTCGCAGAATTATTAGAATTTATCTTAATTTCATTCTTCTCATACCAAATCCTGATGCAGTTTTAAATTTAAATGAGCCGGATATCATCTATCTGACCAGTGAAATGCCAATTGTACATTGTGAAGTTACAAGCAGGTGCGTTTCAAGATACTTTCACATTACAGAATTTTTATAGGATTAACTTCGGTATGTATATATAAGCGATCGCAACTCTCGAATAATCCATCTGGGAGGAAAACCGATTCCATGCCTTTGGCCTTTCCCTCTCCTCCACGTTTCACTTTTGATAGAAATGTCCTACGATATTTTTCCTTTTCTTAATATTTTTCCTATTTAATTGTTAAAAATATTTTTTTTTAAATGTCCATGACGCTTTCTTCTAGAACTATGTTTAATGCAGTTTTCAGTTCCATATAGTTTCCTAACTTAAAAATTTTAATCTATTTGAAAATCAAGACAGAAACTAACATCTTTCTTCTATGACTCTCCACACGATAATGGTGAAAGCAAGCGAATTGTTGCATGGGTAGAGAGTTCTGCTCTACGCCATTTGTAGCCCATTTCGATCGCCAATTGAATTATCATGGACCTAGAGAACTTGGAGGACATTTGGACTCTGATGGATTGAAAAAATAATAAATAACTGACATCAATGTGGCTGTCAGTTTTTTTGAGGAATTGATCAAGACAATTGTCTTGTATTAATGGCCAAGAGTAAGTGCGTCGCTCCTATTACTGTTGAATAAAATATAGATCTTGAATGGTGAAATATATTCTCCATTGAAAACTTCAATAATCAATTCCTCTTTTTATCTCAATTCGCAATCGCAACGAACTATAGGGGGCGTTGTTGTATGAGACTAATACCTGCAATTTCTGTATGAATAGTCATTCAGTTGCTGTGGAAACATCTTTATTGTATAGCGAGTAGCATTGTAACGTTCCTTCTTTATTATAGCTTATAAAATTTAAAAAAGAAAATTGTTTGACATTCTTTCTTATGCAAGCGAAAACAAAATGGTATCTCTTTTTTTAGAGAAGGAACATCCAAAACACATCAGAAAAATATTAGTAAATAAACAGAAAAAAAATGTATCTTCCTATTAGAGTTAAAAACCTAATGCCTGAGAAATAGTTTTACTAAATTTAATGATGTAACATGAAAGGCCTATTAAATTTTACATTCCATAGTCCTAAGAACCATATTACTTAAACATTAAAATAAGCAAAAGTACACAAGCCTATTATTTTAGATAATTTAATTCTGCGAAAAACGTTTTTTGACAAAAATTTTTATCTTAAAATTTTAAGTTTCAGTAAAAATCATTATTTAGAAACTAAAAAAACGTGAAATAAAGAATGCTTACGAAACAAAAAAAAACGATTCAAAATTCTTCGCATTAAAATAAAAATCTTTCATGCTTCTTTTTGATTTTATTCATAATCGGACGCAGAAAACCATTCTATAGAAAATTACCTTCAAATAAGAAAATAAATTATTTACAAGTAAAACTTTTTATCATAAAAATTGTAACACTTACCTGCTTTGCTGAATTCTAGTTGAAATTTATCATTCAAAATTAAAAAATACTTACCAAGAAAACGATAAAAATTTATTAATAATCAACATGAATGATACTATTTCAAGTTAATTCAGATGATTCTTTATTGGCGATTGCAACGTTCGAATAAGAAATCTGGGGGGAGACCGGTTTCATGCCTTTGGCCCTTCTCCCTTCCCTCTCCTCCTCTTTTCTATAGGAATGTACTACGATATTTTTACTTTTCTTAATATTTTTCCTTTTTATTTAATTAAAATGTTTTTTAAAATTTCCGTGATGCTTTTCTTTAGAACTATTTTTATTGTAATTTTCAGTTCCATATAGTTTTCCAACTAAAAAGATTTTAATCTATGGATGGTGTTTTCAATAGAAATGTAAACAATAACAATCTCGAGCTCGGCACCTACTTTAGTTCCGGTTAAAAAGTTTGCAGCTGCTTACTACATGTAGTTCTGATAGGCGATGTTTTCAAACGGATAATTTTGTTTTCAATAAAAGAAATAAATTAGATAATTTCTGAGCTGAAATCTGCCATATTTAATAAGATATGAATGTTAATATGTAATTTTGGGGAGTTTGAAGTGAAAATTTGTTTTAGTTTTTTAGAGATATATTGTTAAAAAAGGTGACATGGTTGCTAGATTTTGAATAACTCGCTTTTTCGGCAGTCTTGATATGGCCTCTTTCCATAAGTTTATTATTGTTTGTTCTTGTTGCAAGTTGTGCACCATCTTACGTTAGAGTTAACACTTTTAGCATTGTAAACACAAGTAATAAGTAATCAAATACATTGTTTGCAAGAATCTCAAAACGCAATGATGCCATATGGCCTTAAAATACAACGGAAACAGTAACCCGGAAATTTAGGTGGTACCGAGCTTGCAGCGTTCCCTAGTGTAGAAAACACCATCCATATGAAAATCAAGAGGGAGACTAACATGCTTCCTTCCTCTATGACTCTCCACACGAGAATGAGGAAAGCATGCGAAGTGTTGCCATAGAGAGTACTGCTCTACGCCACCTGCAGCCCATTTCGATCGCAAATTGTTGTTTTCCGAATTATATAGATTCAGAAATATATACTATTCTCTGCACGTTCTGAAATCATATTTATTCATTGCAATAAGCTAAGCAATTCTGACTTCGCTTTAATTTGACAAAAAAAAAGAAAGAAAAAAAATGGAAAAAGAATGGAAGACAAAAAAACAAAAAAAAGAATTTTACCATAATACACACATCTGCAACAGTATGGAGGTTATCTGTTGCAAGTTTGTTAATAATAGAAGGGTAAAAATTATTGAAAAATTTCTTCAAATGTTGGGTGCGTTCTGTTTTTGAAAGATTTATCAATGTACTGGGACGCTTTTTCAAGATCTTCTGCCGTTTCCTTCGGGAAATTTTGCTTCGTATTTGCTACTAATAAAATGGCGTCTAACTTTACCAATGATTATGATAGAGCTAAATGCCTGATATTTTCAGGTTCCCGCTAGAGGGCGTACTCAAGCGTCGTGAATGGTGATCGAGCTGTGTGAATCGTATTTAGTGTTAACAGTTGCTTAAGGCCTCTTTAAATATTTTTTACGCCGCTGGCGCCATCTGTGTTACCTTAACGGTCTATTTAAGTTTTGTAATTCATATAGACAAAAATAGTCAACCGAAAGCGTTCTTAAATTCAATAATTTAATTTTTTCTTTGGCAAGCAGTGACAAAGCATATCTGAAATTCTTTTTATTTACAAGAAGATATTTGGAAATTTTTCCCGTGTAGTATTGTAAGTGATACTTAGGTTAATTTCTTTTTTTGAGAAATAGGATTTCTGTTTATTTAACTTTGTCTCATTTTTAATGCCGTCTACCATTTTATTTCTAACTTTCTTAATGCATTATTAAATTTTCTTAAATTTGATTCATCTTTTTTTGTAATGGTTGAAATAATCGTATATGATTAAATAGTATAGGAGGATTGATCTCGGCAAAAATCTGATTGAAATGTTTTGCTCAAAGTGTAGAATTGAATATTCGTTTTATTTTCATTGTATGTCTTAACTTAACTAGTTTAAAACTAGTTCTTTTTTCTTAATAATAATGATTTTTTTCTCGCTGGTTTTTTTTAATTAATAATTTATTTGATGGCTCAGACTTAGGTACAATTTTGGAAGGATATTTTAACTCTATTGAATTCAGTTCAAGAAAGAAAAAAAATATTTTTTTCTTTGGGTAAGGGGGGATTTTACATTATTGTGCATGCTGTGGACAAGACATATACAATGTTTGATTGCTCGTAATTAAATAAAGCATTGATTTAGGAGACTGGTTTTTTATATTATAAAATCAGGAGACATGCCTTCTTTAATCATACTGAAATGCTTATAAAAAGTTAGTGAAATTGCATTTTGAAGCTTGTCATGTTTGCAACATTGTCATGTCCAAATTAAAAATTTCATAAAAAATATTAAATTAATGTGAAATCATTAATTAATCATTAAATTTTAAAAAAATCATAATGACACAACACAGCAAATAATTGAAAGACACCCAATTTTTAAAAAAAATAAGCCTTTTAACTGCCTTGCTTTATCATAATCATAAAAAACATATGTGTGCTCTTATAAGCAACCCATATTTAAATACTAAAGGCAAAAATAACATTTTTTCAGTCATCAATTATGCAAATACAATAGAATTCTTAAAATATGTTTAATTACAAATATTATATGTTGCAATGGCAAAAAAAATTTTTTTTCACTGTCATAACTGCAGCTTTTTATATTATTTTTTTCACATTTTATACAATTTAAATAATTTGCATCAGTATTTTAAAAAAACTAGTTTGATATGTGATTCATTAAATTTTAGGAAAAAAAAGTTTTTAAGCATGCCATGCTACAAATAGAGTGGAATCATCTTAAATAGTTCCTGTAAATTACGGCTGAAATACATTACTGATTTTCACTTCATTTATAGACTGTGTGCTGTGATCGCCAAAAAGTATATTGTTTCTGTGTTGAAAAAACTATCACTAAGAAAAGAAAAATAATTTAGATGAATAAAATTATCATTCAATAATTTTTAAAGATATAGCTTTAGTGCTTCATACATCAGTCAATATTTCTCATATTAAAAGAAAAGCTCATTGTAAACTTCAAAAAATAAATAAAGAGAGAGATAAATAATACAATTAACCTTACTTTTGACTTTTTGCTCTACTCAATTTGTACACAGATGTTTTGTTTTTTTTATTTAATTTTTTTTTACCTTTTAGACGTCCTCATACCTGCTTGAGCATGCTTTGTTATTGTTTGCTAATTTTATAACTATTCATACATATATTCACAGATTTAAAACAATACTTATAGTCTTTTGTAATAAATTTTGATTCATATTGATTCATCATTGATGAATTTTAATTCATAATTAAAGACTGATTCTTTTATTATTATTTTTTTTTAAGCTGCAAAATGGATTTGCCTTCCCTTAAGCCTAAACCACAAGTAGCTGATAAGGTGGAAATTGCAGAGACAAGCTCTTATGGAACTTATGAAACACTGACAAATGGGTGAGACATTTTGTATGCTTATATTTTAAATTTCACTGCAGATTTATTTATTTTTCAATAATTTTCCATGAATTTTGCATAATTTTTTTATTTATTATGGAGTTTTGTTTCTCCCACATTAAATTTCAATCAGTTGTAATGACCACAGTATTGAAATCCACTAAATGGTGTATGAAATGAATCTCTAAATTTCTAAGTTCATTATTAGATTAAAAAATGTGTGGACAATTTTATCCTATATTAATTTAGTTATCTATTGTAATATAATTGTTTTTATCAACTATTCCTAATTATATAGTTCTAAGTGTATCTTGTATCATGTGTAATGAAAGTATGCAACATTATTCATATTTTGTGAGTTTCGCAGGGCGTTGAGCTTTTATATTTTATGTCAATATTTAATATCACATTTAAGCCCAGACTTTTTCCCCAATAGATCAGCTTTAAGCTCCTAATTCATTTTTTATTTTTCTATTAGAACAAGTGTACTCTTTCGTGGATTAAGCAGGTTTTTTCTCCTTCAGGATTTCCCACACTGCCCCTATAATATCTACACCACTAATTCCTAGAATTAGTGGGTAAACCATACGCCAAAATAAGATCGAAAAATTACTTTAATTTAGAAGCTAAAAGATAGATTTGTTTTTGGATATTCTAAGCTGGTTTTGGAGAGCAATATTTTTCTGTCCTACAATGTCTTATTATAACCAAACTCTGAAAATATGGTATAAAGCAATTACTTCATTATACAACCATTGTACAATGCACAAAACTAAAACCCTAAGTAACTTTAAATCAAATGATCAGATCATTACATTAGGATTTAATTTTAATGTTTCGAGGGATGATCTCAAAAGTATACTAATTAAACAGTGCAGAAGATATTTTGTGTTTGAAAATACCAGAAAAATATACTTTCTCTGAATTGATATAGATTCCCAACTGTAGGTAGCCCAATTTGGAAAATATGGTCCTAATAGTTCCGTCAGGAGAGTTGTCCGAAGTTTGGACCTTTAGTGTTAATTTTACTTTTTGCATTTTTTGAAATACCTGGCAAACTTTTTAAGCAAATTGAGAAGAATTTTCACATGATTATAAAATTCATTTATCCAAAGATAATTCCATGCAAGAAATATTTTTTAGTAAGTATTTATTATTTTATTTAATAATAGTAAAAGGTATGCAAATTTTAACACAATTTTAAAGAATGCAATTTTACATGACAAAATACATCATTTGAGCAAAATCAGTCTAATAGTTCCTAAAAAATCTAATTTTTAGATTATGATTTTTTTTGAAATTCTATTGCCCAGTAAATATTCTACTGATTTTGCTTAAATTTTGTCATTTGCCTCGTAAAATTATATTCTTTAGACTGATGTAAAAAAATTAAATCTTAAAATGTGAAGATCTGATTATTAGATCAAAAGTTATTCTGGTTGGTTTTTTATTTTGCTCTTTGAAAATAGCAATTAAATATTAATGCGTGTGTGTTTTTTTTGTTTGTTTTTTTTAAAAAAAAAATGTAGAACAGATTGATAGATAGGAATACACAGATAGATAGATGAAACATAGATAGGTAGATGAAACATAGATAGATAGAAATGAACTACAAAATTTTTCTTTTGCATAAGTTATGCAATAAAAGATTTTTAAAAAAAAAATTATAAAATAAATAAAATTATTTCCGAATATAAGCCCATCTGCGTACTAGCCAAAGCAATCACTTTTTATTTGGAAATTTTCCCCAAAATTCAAAAGTGGTATTTAAGCTAACGTAAAAAAAAATAAAGTAATAATGTATGCTACTCTTGGAAATTTAAACATGCCCTATCTCTTGTAATAGTAAATCTAGTAATGGTTGTGCTATGAGTAAAAGAAGCCTGGAACTTCCAAATTCGTAATTAGAAAATTAAAAAATAATGGTATTCTTTTTACCTTCAATTTTTATATTCAGTCATTTAATTTAAGTTTTATGTTTTGTATGCATGTTTTGTAATATTTACTGATTATCTCATAGTTGATTAAAAGAGAAGTCATTATTTTTGGGATGGAATTTTTAAGTAAAAAGTTTTGTAAATTATAATTATAAATGAAATTATTACTAAAAAATTTCGAAGTTTCTATCTTTCAAAAACAAAGGTTGAAAACTTAATGCAATATCAACATTATTGATTGTTTTTTGTAGGTTCACCTCTGTCAGAAGTCAACTTTGTGGTCCCAGTGCTTTGGAAGAGTCTGAGCGAAATGTAAGTAATTGAGCAAATTTTTTATTTTATGCTAATTTTCTGTTTAACTCTAATGTACTTTTTAATACTAAAAACTTAAAAATTTTCTGTTTAACTCTAATGTACTTCTTAATACTAAAAACTTAAAAATTCACAACCTATTTGCGTGAATGGCCAATTGCACTACTAACGAAGAGCTGCTTGTGCATTTTGACCACAAATATGGTCATTTTAATGTAAACATTCTAAATTTTCAAATTTGGCCCAAATTACTCAAATTCAAAAATCGCTTATTACAATAAATATTGTATTAAAACTATTTGGTCTTTTAAAACGGTGTGGAATTTTGTAGCAATAACCAATGAAAAAGCGATCAATAAACAACATGGATTTACAATAGAATGAGCTGCCATCAAAAAGTGATGGCTAAAATGTGCAATTCAAAACTTTCATCATTCTTTTTGAAGAAAAATATTTTATTGCCTTCAACATACACTTTTATTCTTGCTGGAAACTTGAACTTCTTGGTCTGAAAGTTTACAATTTTATTTTAGGTTTCCTAGGCATCATTTAAATTAGAAATAGTAAATTGAGGGTTGATTTAAAGACTAATCTACAAAATGTAGGTTTGTTTGCATTGAAATTAGTTTACAGTCTGGAATATTTTATATTTTTAGTACTGTGTTAATGCTGAAAACATGAAAATGGCTGGCCTACGTCGCACTCAAGGGATTCATGCACCTCTTCGTTTGATACATGAGAGAAATGCAGCTAAAAAAGTATGTTTAAATTTTGCTCTTTTCAACACTTTTACTTGATGTTGTGTTTTGATTATATGCTGGCTTATTGGCTCAAATATTCATAAACAATTTTAATAGATAGTTTGAACTTTTTTATGAATTTTCATTTTTTAGTTTTATTCTAATTATGTCATTGCACTAACAAATTTTAATTAGTATAGCTAAGTTTTGTGGTTTCATTAGTGTTTAGTGAGTAATAAAAATAAAGTTAAAACACTTTTTAGTTGATATTTTAAAAAACTTATACTTTTTCAGATTTAAAGACGTTGTTTTATGCACAATTGTTATGAGAATCCTACTACCTTTTAACTGTATAACATGGTTTTCTAAATCTCCCTTTTATTTTAATATTGTAAAGATCTTTTTGAACCTTTTAGTTTATAGGCTATTAAAAAGAAATTATCCTTATATGGCATAAAATAAGCTGGGTAAAAATATATTCATACTGTTTTTCCTTATATATTTTTCTTTAAATAAATGAGTGACTTTTAAGTTGTTCTGTTTAAAAATATTTATCAAACTGCAAAGTAAGTGTCTGTTTAATCAAAGACACTCAATTTATTGCCACTTTAATTTAAAAAAAAAAAAAACCTGTGAATGTATTTTTTATATAATAAAATAAAATAGAAATCCTGGTTATATATAATTTTCTTTTAGATTCAGCGTTTACCATTCTTGCCAAGCTCGAATATAGCCTTAGAAACTTTAGAAGGTCGTGATGAGACTATAGACATGGATGATTTCATATTCAATGGTAAAGTGAAATTAATAACATCTAAAGTTTAAGTCATGCTATCAGTAATTTTAATCTCTGAAGTAACAAAAAAAAAATATTAAGATAATTTGTCATGCTTTTAAAAAAGCTAAAACTTTCTACAACACATTGTTATGTCATTCACTAACAAAAATTTCTGAACTAATATTTGTGTAACACAAAAGCATCAATTATCACTATAATACATTAATAATAATACAAAAATATAATCATTTGAAGGTAATTTAAACAAGCTTATTCACATTTTCATAGGTGTTTCCTAAGAAAATAGAAAAATAACACAACACAAATCAAATTTGATTTTTTTTTTTTTTTTCAAAATAGATCACGATTATTTTTTCAATAATAGTTAACGTTATTTCATAAAATATGTATGGTAAGCTTTTTGTTTTGGATACAGCTCAAATGTGCATTTCTAATGTAAAACAATTAACACAGGCTAAAAGTAAGCAACTGCTGATGTTATTGACTATCATGACTTACCAACAACCAAAGAAGTGAAACATACAGTCTAAAAGTTAAACCGCTGGACCAGATATGATAAAAACTGATCATGCAGAGACCAATGGTCCAGATTTGACAGGTGCCATGCATATTATAATTATATGTAATGTTTGGCTTAAAAAGAAACTACTCTTCGAATGGGATAAGGGTTCTATCAGTTCAATTTCTCAAGAGAAATCCTCCTGAATACTATATTGCTTATCTTCTATAATATACTATATTATAAGCCACTTCTTTTTGTGACAAAAATCGTCCGCAAAATCCAGTGTAGATTCCCAAGAGGAAAATCCACTCATGACCTAATTCATGCATTAAGACAAATACTAGAGAAAAATCAACGAATATGTGTATAATCTTTATGTTGATTTAAAAGCAGCATTCAATTGGAGACGAACACCTATATGAAATAAATCATAAAACACTTACTACTAATTTATACAACACAATCTTGTCAAATAAACTCTTTAAGGATTCATTGCAACATCAAAACACAGGAGTTATCCAAAACCATTTTTACTGATGGAAATCTTCGGCAAGGTTCTGCCTACTGTTTAACATTGTACTTGAAAATTATCAAAAATGCAAAAGTAACAACTGTTAGCTAAAAAAAAAATTATAATAACAACTAATTGCACTTTTTATATCAAATCTACTGAAGTACTGGCCTATGCAGATGATCTTTATATTGTTTGGCAGATGAAAACTGATTGTTATTGATGCATTTGTAGCTCTTCAGACTGAGGCTGAAAAAAACAGTCTAAACATCAGTCAAAAGAAAACAAAACTTATGATACTGACCAATCATAAGGCTGATAATGCACCACTATTGGCAGATGGCCACACTTTTGAGAAAAGCACAGAGTTAAAAGGAACAACTGTCCTTAACAAAAATTGAATAAATGTTGATATTGATACTGTCATATTGGTGCTACTTTGGTTTAGGAAATCACCCAAGATCATGCCTCATTAGCAATTGAGTTAGCATATCCAGAATAAGCTATAAATTTTTAAATGAAAAACACTACACAAAATTTTCGGTTCTGTCCAAGAAAATTACATCTGGCAAATTCTTTACAATCATGAAATTTAAAATATAAGCAATCAGAAATATTAAGTCTTCAAATAAAACTGAATAAAATATCTTGGGCATTTACTTAGATTGGAGAATAAGGGAAAATAAGCTGTCGGATGCATGACTCCAAGCTTCATGTTGAGAGGTACCCTTTAGGTATTCTAGTATTAGTATAACAAGTTTCTTCCTAAGTATATTTCCCCAGTTATGCCATTTCCTTTTTAGATTAAGAGCGCTATAGATTAACTTAGCCGATTTTCAATTGTTTATATTGATTTTTCGGCTTTGATTGGAGTTATAATACAAAATAGTTTTAAATATTATCAATGACAATTAAAGATCAATTTGGGAATAGCAAATAAGAAGGAATCATAGTACATTTTACAAATTAAAATCAAACGAATAAAATTCTTATTACCACCTTTTTAAGAAAGGTGACAAAATTGCTCGAACTAAAATACATAATTTACTAAATAAACTAAAATACATAATTACGAACGAATATAAACTGAAATACATAATTACGAACGAATATAAACTAAAATACATAATTATAATATATTATAATTTATTTGTATACATTAACTCTGTATTTTATCTTTTAGATCCCTTTGAAGGTGTGGAGTCCTTAGCATCACCTTTCATGGTTATGGAAAAACATTTGTTTGGTGCAAAGAAATGAATTTTATGTTAAAAATTTAATTGTGCTTGTAATAAAATGTTCTTTTCTTATTATCTCGTCATTTTTCTATTTTCATTTAGATACTTTAAAATTTATTTTATAGGTAACCATAATCCATGTAATCAAGTAAAATATATACAGTGAAACCTCCGTTAAGCGGACATTCATGGGACCAAAAAATTTGTCCGTTTACGAGAAGGATACTTTAATAACGAAATTTAACACCGTAAATTGTTTTTAGAATGTTCTCAAAGATGTAGAAAGGATACTGTAAATATCTACAAGAATATTTATTTAAACAATAAGAAAGATAAAAAGGAATATGTAAGGAAGTTTGATATAAATACATAATTCTGGATGTAGCTACAGATAAATTATAATTTTCCTATTAGCAAAGATACTCAAGTTAGACATATGATACCAAATAGGAGCGTACTGTCCTCAGTCCGTTTCAATTATTAGGTTCACATCCCCTTACACCTACTTATCATTTGATAGGGAACATGGTTAATATCTTCTTGGAAAATAAATCTCCCATGATTCACAGAAAAAAAAGTAATCCATACCTGTAAGTCATGAGGACCTATGGAGATGATTATTCACAATTGATCAGCTATCAAGTGTCTGAATAAATGTTTCATTTATATAAACACCTCAAAGATTATACTTCTGTTCTCTTTTTTTTACCCCAGTTGTGTTAAATAGAGTCTTCAAATTGATAAGAAAAATTAAAGAAATTTTCAATGGGGAAGAAGCATTGAGAGAAGTCATTTCAACTTGAGGGGTCTCATAACCTGTGTGGTCCAGATGAAAAGATCAAAAGATGCCGATGTCAGAATTATTTCAGGAGTGCAGTACCATTTTCTCTGCTTTCTTTACAAAGATAAGGCAAGGTGACAGGAGAAAGATTGATTTTTCGGTGGTGAAATAGCTTAACAATATTTTTAGTTACGGATAAGGCAAAAAGTTTTATTTACATGCTTTAAAAAAGGTGAAAAGTTGCATTTTTTTTATCTTGCAATTTATTTAGAAAAAGTAGTGTCCGGTTTGTAGAGATAAACGTTGCATGATCAAAATGACTGTCCGCGTCCGGTTACGAGAGTGTCCGCTTTGCGGAGAATGTACGTAATGGTTTATTCATGGAAGATTCCCGGGGAATTAAAAATATGTCCGAATTAAGAGGCATCCGTTTTGCAGGAGGTTTCACTGTATATATATTTTACGACTGCATGTGTTTAATGCCACTCATAAGCACTCTATAATTATATTACAACTAATTTCATTTCCTGTCTCTCACTTCCTCTCCAGACAAATGTGATGTGAGGTTGTTGATTTTTATTTTAAATAAAACTATATTTATTGAACTAGATTTTAGTGATTAGATTAAATCACATGCAACTTGTATATTTTTTGGAGTCATGCAGATGAGACTTGGGAAGCTCCATGTTTTAAAATAAGCTTTTCATTGAATATCTGAGTGGAAATGCCAATGACCTTTTTAGTTCTAAGAGTTAGTGTGAAAGTTTTTCAATTACTTGTATACAATATTTTATCAATACAAGAACTGATTTTGACATAAATTCAAGACTTCGATGCCTTAATAATCAGCCTTAAGATGTTCGGGGTAATAAGCATTCTCATTTTATAATAAATTGTAAGAAATTTTGAAATTTTTTTAATAGAATTAACATATTTTTGGAATAATTAGTATGTTTTGTTGATCAACACTTTTTAAATTTTTTGCTACTCATATCACTGGCATAGGGAAAAGTTAGATATAAAATCCTTAAGGTTTTCTATTTTTCTCTAGAAACTCTGCAAATAGATTTGTTTAAATTTTTATTTAAGAAATAAAATAGACCTTTAGCTCAAAAAAATGTGTAGTATATTTTTGAGGCAAATTAATTATTTTTTGTAAGTTCTATGCTAATACCTAGTTTTATCCAACTGGTTTTTAGTATACTTACTAGTTTGATAAAACTGGGCAAGTATAGAAATAATGAAAGAAAAAAAAACGTTTTGAAATTTTTCGTTCATCAGCACCTTCTAATTTTTAGACCCATCACTGCATAAATGAACATAAAACATTTATTTTAGAAATAAATATTTAATAAACTAATTATAAAATATGTACAAAAATGAATTATACATTATGTTTCTACTTCATGGCTAAGATCTTCAGCCTCTTCATAGTATGAATTCTTTGCTTTTGGTCTTGAAGGAGGATTCACACCTAATGTATTATAATTAGTTGAACTTGCAGATGGGTTTTCCATTTCATGGTTTGGAACCAGCAGTTGCTTCTCCTCTTCGTTCATCGCTAAATGTCTTCCAGAGACAGACATTTTCACTGTTTTACCTGTTGATGATTTTATTAATATTTATAGGGACCAAAAGTGTGTATTTTTTAAAACAATTATTCTTTTATACCATACTTTAAAAATAATTTTAAAAAACTTAAAGTTCAAGAAATTTCTGTTAAAAACTCTTCAGTGTCAAACAGGATGTACTAAACAATGAGTACACAAACTTATGGAAGGTTGTTGTTTTTATCACTGATTTAGGAGTCAGCTTATACTAATATACCTATAATATCCTGAAGTTAATATACCTATGAACTTAAGGTAATATTACAATAGGAGATTACCCATTGGGAAAATGGGTACAGTTCTAAGTTTTTTCATGTTTGCACAATTTTTGATTAGATCAACACCATAATCACAAAGAAAAAATTGTAAGAGTCATAAAAAATAAGTATAACTTTAGCAATACTAAAAAAGGCAGCCAATAACTTTGGAACTACTTGGAGTTGATTGTTTTCCAGATTGAGTTTTTTCTTATTATTTTCAATAGCGTGCATTTTTTAATATTTTTACATATTTAAAGTATTTTTATGATTTACTTATTCATAGTGACTGTCTAGGCTGGCAATATTAATAAAAATATGAATACTGAAAAAGGAAAAGAATTTTGTGGCATAGTAAGAAACATATATTGGCCTTAGTTTACCTTTAAGACCTATCGTGCTCCCGACACGGAACTTTAAACTTGCGTAAATAGATAATTTTTTTGATTGTATTAGTATCTAATGAAATATTAACTAGGGAATATGAAATTAAATGTAAAACTAAATAGTAGTATTAAATATCTCACCAACATGACGTAGATGATCAGAAACATCCTGTGTAACATCAGAAACATCCCACATACTCATGAATGATAAACAACAAGGCACTTGCTGAGCTGCCATGTCAACATAGGGTTTATGAGAGAATGCATAGTAATGAGCTACAGATGCCATGAACATTTCAATACAAATCAGAAAGTTCTAGAAAAGAGATTTTTATTTTAAAAAACAAAAGATTAACATCTAAAAAAGATGCATATGTGAAAATTAAAAATACACACAGAGGTCAATGAATTAGAAACTTTAGATTAATATTTATTGGACCTTTCGTTGCACAAAGAACAGCCCGTATTCATGAGAGCATTGATTTTACAAGGGTCTGGATTGCATTTATGTCCAGATAATACCATGTAATTGTGTATGCAGATTTAAAGATCTTGGTAAATTAAATGGAAGAAGGCCATCCGAGATGCTTTTCCAAAATGCTATACATATTTTCTATTGTATTAAATTCAGGGTTTCGTAGCATCCGGGGAAGGAATTGAAAGTCAGCTTAATGTACATTGAACCTATTTTGAATGTTTCATTCACAATGTAGAGTTGCATTATTGCCCATAAAGTGTCTGTCACATTCGGAGTAAAAATAAAACATTGCCAGATACACTTGATCTAGTATTGCATGACTTTTTTACAACATTAAAATAATGTAGAAAAAAAAAGACATTTAACACACCATATTCTTTTATTATTATCTTTAGAAAATTTTAGAGCAATTTTAAATATTGGTATCATCATCATATCTGGCTAGACAGCCCAGTGCCTTCCTTTGAATTCGAATCCACTTCTCTCTACTTTTGACACTTGTTCGCCAGTTTTTCTCCTTTAGAGTAAGGAAATCAGTCTCAACTAAATCTCAGCCTGGGTCTACCTCTTTTCCTGTTCATTAGGGGTTTGTGTAATAGGATTTTCTTTAAATTTGAGTCATCATTCCTTCTGAAAATGTGAGCTGCCCAGTTCATTCAATTTATTTTTATGAATTTCACAATATCTGGCTCTCTGAATACATATATTTAAATTTGCTCTGAAATTTCCTAGAGATTTATTCTTCAATTTTTTTTCCAAAGTTTAGAAATTTAAGAATTAAAAATAAAATCCTATCAAAGTCCAAATTCAGAAAAACCCCACAACTGGTTATTAGATGTTGAAAAACCAAAATGTTATTAATAATTTTTAACTAATACTACAACTATTCTGTATATTTGCTACTACATATGTTACTATTAATATTACTACTTTATACTTTTCAATCGCTTCCAACTCTTATAATTGCTAAGCAATTAGTTTAATGTTTGATTCACAAACAAAATTTCAAACCACCTTAATGATTGCCGTGCAATTATTTTCCTCTTGCTTTAAAATCAAAACTCAATACATTCTATGATTGCAAATTGGTCCATATTCATTTCTGTTTTTTTAGATTGTGTAGCAATTTATTTTATGAAATCCTATTTGAATGAACTGTGTCTGTAAGATGAGGCTATATTATTTACTTTTAATAGTATTAATTGGATTTATCTAAATGTAAGTAGAAGACAAATAAAAATATTGAATTACACTTTATTACAGTACATTATTCAAAAATTAATAATGTTTCTGAAATATATGTGGCAGAACCTGACTCAATTCATTCCTAAAATTACAGACTGCTAGATGTAATAAACAAAAAATTAATTTTAAGTATGATAAACAAATAATTGCAAATGATATTCAAATTCTTATTTCAATAACTGTACAATATACGGATGAAACATTTATTTCCAATTTAACAAAAAAGAAAAATGTGTTAATGAAAATATATATAAAAAAACCAAACAAATTGATAAAACAATGATAAATTTACTTACACACAAATTTTCTGAAAACTTACAAATATTAAAAAAACTCCTTATGCAATATTCTTATTGATTCTTCGAATTTTTTTTTTAGTATAGTAAGGTTTAAAATATAGTAAATTATCATTAGTAAGAGCTTAATTAATAGTTACCTGCAAACTTCTACCCACTTCTGCGACATCTGCACCAGGAGTGGTGAAGGATTCGGTTATCACACCCACATAAGTTAAAATAGCAATAATTACAGATTGGCTAAAAATAGAAAAAATAATAAATATAAAAAATTTATAAAAATGAATTGTACATTTTAGTAAATAAATTATTGGGAATTTTAGAAAACTAATCATCAATGTTTTAAGTATTATTTAAAATATTATTTACTTACCTATTAACTTCAAATTTAAACATGTAGTTGCATTTATTTTTCTTTTAAAATTAGGTAAAATCATGAAAATTAAAGTGGCAATGAAAAAATATACTGAGAGAAAAATTAATCATTTTAATAATTAATTAAAGTGCAGAAAGCAATTCCTAATATTTTTAAACTAGACCAAAGAATGGTTTCTTTAAAAACCATGTAAACATACAATGAGGAAACTAGTTTACAATGCAAAAATCATTTTCTAATATTTTTAAAATAATTTTACACCAACTTCTAAAACAAAACTTTTTATTTCCAAGCAGAAATTATTAGGAATATTTTTTCTATTATCATTTATCATAAAATCAATAATATTATTAATCATAAAAGAATTCGTAATTTTTTGCAGTGATTTCTAAAAATTTTAACACTATTTCATTTCAACAGTTTTTTTTTATTCGGTAGAATAACATGCAACTGTTTTTTTTTTTTTTTTTTTTTTTTTTTTTTTTTTTTTTTTNCAAATCCGTGACGTTAAACCCAACTAGCTCAAAAATCAGGAGATAAATAAAATTAAGTTCATTGCAGGCTCAAACATACAATTTGTTGTAGTTAGCAGAATAACAAAAATTAGAACATGGCAAGATGAACATAACACAATGAAGCACAGTGACTTATATCAGCCCTTAGGTATCAATACATACATAACAGTACACTACATCACTTGGGCAATCATGTGTAACAACCGTGATGAATTGGTAACATTATCTTAAGATTCAAAGTTACTTCTTGCTTCAAGTATTCACAGAATACGAAGTTTATTGGTCTTGGTCTGTATATCAAAAATTGTTTCAAAACAGCAAGATACTGGGTAAGAAAGAATAAAAGACCGTTCCTTATTTGACATCAAAGACCACATAAAAATTTATCAGCTTTCGCTCATGTAAGTAGAAAGACAAAATGGCTTATGAATCTCTATCATTCCACAATTTCAATGAACTTTCTGCACGCAATATTCTGGCTGAAGAACCAAGTGATTTTATCTGTTATCCGAAAAAGGAAAAAAAAGTCGAACACCTGGTCATATTAATCCAACTATCTGATTTACAAAACATCGATGCCAGCAATTAATGTTCAAAATAATTATTAAAATTGTATGAAAATAAAAACATATGCTAATTACTTGCTTATGAAAAGTAATGTGAGAGCTCAGCTCCCTGGTAAATCACCACATAATTATACATATATAAAAAAGGCACAAACAAGATCTCATCTATATGCAAAGTTTAATAATTTGAACATTAAAATAGGCTCCCAATTTTAGCGAAGTATCATTCTTAATTTCTTCAAATAATTCTCACTAAACTAGCTGGGGTATTTCTTTATACGAAGCATTTAGACATTACAACGTTGCTAATTGCATTTTGTAATGTTTGTAAGATTACTTTGATGATATAAACAATTATAGATGTACATTAGTTTTAAAAATATAGAATAAAAAACTTGGATTAATACTTACAAAAATGAAAAAAACACCACAGCTTTGATGCAAAGAAATTTGGCAATGGGTTTCATTGGTGCTAACTCATTTTTATTGGCTTGATAAAATAGAACTAGAGAGTACATTGCTACCTAAAGACAGATATGATGGGAAAATGAAAAATATAGCCATGCATTGATAAGTTCTAAAATGAAAAAAACTGAATACAACATTTCAAAAAATATTCCACTCTAGACAGTTTCCACTGCCACTATATAACTCTTATGATTGGTTTGAAATAATTTTTATTTTATGACAATTAGCATATTTATAACACAAAATTAAAAATTATACAATTAAAAGATCCTAAAATTTTTATTCTATTAACAAAATTTGGTTCCACACATTTAATTTCTGATTCTATTGGGATAAAATTATAACTTCATTTTGCTGGGTAACCATTGCAATTTCATCCTCGAACAAGTTTTTTTTCTCTTATTTAGTTTTTAGTTACTATAAAAACTATTTAAGTGCTTCTCGCTAAAGATATTATTTAGCCTAATCCCTTTCAAAAATATAGAATAAATTATTAATATATAAAAATAATATAAAGCAATATAATCATTAAACATTATTAAGTAATAATTATTAATATATAAAGTAAATTAGTATTATATAAAAAATTACAACAAATTATCTATTTTATTAGCAAAAAGTTGGTTCCTTATAATTTGTTGCAATTTTAATTAGTTTTGTAATAACTATTTTAACTGTACTCAGTTTTACATCATAAAAATTATTATAGCTACCATATATCCCTGCGTATAGATAGACCACCTATTTTTGATTACAAAGTAGAAAATTTCTAAATTTAAAAAACATGAAAGAATTTATTAAGACTACAAAATTTTCCTTAATTAAAAATGTTTCACATTCTTCTCTATGGATACTACCTTCAAATCCTATTAAACGTGTAGCAAAATGTAGATACAGATGATATTATAAATTCTTTTAAAAAGTGTTTATTTTCAAATTCTTTGGGAGGAGAGAAGAGGACTTTTTGTGGAACTCAGCAAATACAGATGAAGAAGAATCAATTGCATAGAGGGAGCTTTATTGTGACGCTACAAACTTTATTGTATCTGAGACAGATGATTTTCTAGAATCTTTAAATTCATAGTTTCATAGTATATTTTAAAAGTTTTCATTGTGTTAAATTGTTTGAATTACTCTTTAATAATTTATCTTAGTTTTTCTTATTCTTAATTTATTTTCTGAATGTAATTTAAAGTATAGTTTCTAAAAAAAATCTCTTTAAGTAAATAAAATATGTGAGAAAAGGCAAAATTAATCATACATAACTTATAAATAACAGTTTTTTGAAAAGGTAAATTGATACAGAGTAATTCATCTCTATCTAATTCTTTTCAGTGTATTAATATCTCGCAATCAATGAATGTCCGATTTTATTACCTGTGTATAAGTCAACCACCTGATTTTTATACAATTTTGGGGGTTTGAAAAGTTGCCTTATACACTGAGATAAAGGGTAATCAAAAACTAAATTTAACTTATTCACCAATTAACAATTGTAAAACAGTAATTTAATTGCCTTTATTGCAATCTCAAGTACAAATCTTGTTCCTTAAGTTCTTAAATACTTTTTTGGTTATTGTAGAACTTGTTGAATGTTTCGTGCCAAAAAGATTATTTAACAATAGTGCCAAATGTTAATTCTCATATTCAATAGCACTAATAGTTCAGAAATAGCAAAGGATTTTTACATAAATGAACTATGTGAGGCTTGTACTTGTTTTTACTTTTGTCATTGCTATTTAGACAAGCAAGCTATTTTTTTTTACCTTAAATGTAATGAGACAAAATCAAAGTCTATTGGATGAATAATTTGCAAAAAGTTTGCAATTCTTATAATTATAGTTCTATTGGCTTTTATTTGATCTCATCAAAATCAGCATAAAAAACCATTTGAAAAAGTACCCTATTTGTTTAGATAGCAGTATTGTAAAGTTGACCTCTAAAAATATTGCTACTAATAATATGTTATTCTAATGAGAAAGCATCTCGCCCACAGTCGGGTGGTTAATGGAAGTTAAGGCCTCACAATTCAAAGACCACCTGCATGGCGGTGGCATTGTGGTTGGCATTGTGCACTGGCCACCTTTACTTCCCAGATTAGAATAACCATATCAATTTGAAACCTGTTAAAATTCAAGCCCACGTAGGGGACAGAACCTCATCCTTCCCAATGACAGTCCTTAACCACTATTCCTTTGCTACTCATATAATTACTTGAAAAACTAATAATAAGGACTAAAATAATAATGATTTTTAAGAGCCAACTGCATACAAATGATATAATAAAATACTTACAAATTGTGATATATTATTAATTGCCACAATATATGGATAAGCATACTTTGGATCAAACTTTCCCTCTCCATAGACATCACACATTTCAGTTATTCTAAAAATGTCAGCAAAGTATTAGTTTTTTTTTTTTTTTAAATATATAAATTACAAATTTAAATTCTAAAAGAATATAATGCAACAAATTTCACAATCCAAAGTTTTAAAAATATAAAATTAAAAAAATTTATAAAATAGAATTTGAATACAGTTGTCTCTCATAAAGTGTGGATTCTCAATGCAGAACATTTTTCTTCAACTCAGGAATCCACCTGAAGTAACAACGTTCTTTTTGATTAAATAAAAATGTCATTTTGTTCATCCCAGAATTTTTCAGAATTTGTTTTCCTTAATAAATCTAAGGTAATTCGATAAAATTCAAAATTGTATTTTTTTTAACTATATCTAGTTTCAATTATTTGTTTTTGTTTTCAATTAACTGAATGATTTTTATTTTATTAATGACAAAATGTTTATGAAATAAAACATAACAAGTGCAAGGAGACATAACAGTTTACAAGGAAAACGGCCATATCGATAGATATGCATAAGTAGCATCCTTACAAACTTATTTTATGATCGATTTTGGGTCGTAATTTATTTTGAGTCATCATTAAACTACCAATGTTAGCCCCCATATCTATCTGGCAGATATGGGGGCAGAGAGGTTATTTTCAATAAAAGAGAGGGTACTTATTGTTTATAGGGACCATGAAGCCAAGCTTGCCCATACATAGGAATTACACCAACTTCTGATTTAATCAGGTCACCAATTACTGATAATACACATAGGTGTATCAAATACAACAATATCATCACTAATGATAACAATAAATATGAAATAGGAAAATATCACGATCACTACTGATAACTTTAAAAATTTAATATAATAATTTTGAGACATAACTTATCAAAAATATAAAAAAATTGTAAAAAGTTTTATTTAAAAAAATTAATAAAAAAAACACTGTTTGCACTAATTAGAATATTTTAATTTTCAGCAATTTAAAGATTCAGTGATTAAAAACCTCAGCGTTAAAAAAACAAAATTACCCTAAAATATTAAATATTAATCAAAATTTTAATAAAATATAAAATATTTCAATGATTCTCAAATAATAATTTTAAAACTTTATGAATAAAATTTTTGTCACTATTCAGAATTTTAAAATGTTGAATAATTTAGTAATTAAATTATTATAAACCGGAGTGATCAAAAGCCGCGGTGTTAGAAAAAAAATATTAAAATTATTCATATATATTTCTATGGTTACAGATAATAAACCACAATTTAAACACTGAATAAAGTGATAGAGATCTCCAGTTTATGTTCTTTATGAAATTAAAAAAGAAAATAAATAAAATTTTAGGCGCTTCTCATAATATTTTAATACAAACTCATTCTTAATAAAATTATTGAAAACAAATTATTGAAAGTCATAGAGTTTGAAAACCAAAACATTCCAAAATTATCTCTGATAAGTATTTTTATCGTCAGAAATAATAATTTAAAGATTGTACACAGAACTAGAGAAAAAAAATTTGGCATTTTTAAGAATATTTTAATATTTAAACAATTAAATGAGTAAATATGAACAATTTGAAACATATCAAAAATGAAACTCACAATGATATCAATGTAGTAATGGGACGGATTACAGTATATTGAAGAATTCCATGTTTACAAGCTTGAATGAAATACCTAGATAAAAATGCGAACTAATGAAAGAAAAATATTTATAATCTTTAATACAATCCAAATAAGATAAAAATAATTTAAAGAGTGATTAAAATAACACAAAACATCACACACATAGCACAAAATAAAGTTGTTGTGTGAGGTACAAAACTTTCAATTTCTATTCTACATACTGAAGTGAAGTATTTAATCAAATTCTTAAATTGTAACAATTATTTTGGTTATCATATGCAATAAGTGCACAAAATATCACAAGTCATACTAGCTTAAATATTTATGGAAATATGAATATTTTAATAAAAAAACAAATTTTTCTGTCTTTTGTCTTTTTTTTTTTTGCTTAAACTTAAAAAATAATCAGTATAATGAAACAAAATTTATAGAGCAATTTAAAATTAATTGCAAAATTTTTGCCTTGAAATTTGAAAAAAATTTGAAGACTGTGCAATACATAAGTCATTAAAGTAGTTATTTTATAGCACACATGCACAGAAAAAATTTAACATATTTTTTCAGAATTCGATGTCAGAATGTCAGATTTGAATATCTTAAAAAGCAACTTAAGTAGTTTTTACACTTTTTAGAAGAAAGTTCAAAATGATAAGGGGTATTCTACAAATAGTATTTAGTATCATAAGACAAATTCAGTAACAAATGATCAAACCTTACAATAAACGTTCATACACCAAAATATGATACTATAAGGAAAGAAAACATGCAAATGGAAAAACAGTTTTATGTGAGGGATGATCCCCAACAATACCAGTGTCATTTTTAATAAATCTTGTTTAATAGTACAAAATAAAATTTGTGGAAAACCCTTTATCATGTTGAGCTTCTTTTAAAGAAGTACGAAAAAAATTCAGAAAATTGCTTGAAACATTTGACACTTTAAAGATATTCAACTCGGCCTTTTTTTTATTAAGTACCAAATACAATTGACAACAAATTTTTAAAAAAAATCTAAATTTTCCTGAGCATGTGAAGTATAAAACTACTATTTCAATTAGACATTTCTTGCACAGTTTTAAACAAATTTTTCTCAAATTTTAAAGCTTAAAGCGATAATTTTGTAATTAATTTCAAATTGCTCCAAAAATTTTGTTTAATTTTATTGAATATTTTTAAAGAGTACAAAATGTAAGACAAAAAAATTAGTTTTTTATAAAATTGTCCATATCTCCACAAATATTTAAGCTAGGTTTACGAAATTTTGTGCAATTATCGCATATAGTAACCAAAATAATTGTCACGAGTAACAAATTTACTGCTATATTTTTTGGTAAAGGATATTCAAAAACACTATTTTAAGTTTGTAATTTCTTGTCGGTCTCTCAAAGCTCTCAAAACTTTTAACTTCACTGATAAGTATGAGAAATTGCTTAAACTAAGACTTCTAAATTCATAAAATAATTCTTTAAGTATTTTTTGAGAAAGATAAGACATGGGTTAGAACAGAAGTGATTCCATTATTTTGTCCAACACTTGTATATATATATACATATATATTAGAAGAAAAATTTTGAAGATAAACTAAAACAAAAAAAAATATTGCCTAACATGAAACTGAAAAGATTACCGCAGCAAAGAACCACAAAGGATAAAACCAAAATGCAATAATATGAAATAACATACTAAATATCACCTTGGGAATACCGCAACAGGAAAATTCGAAAAGCTTGTAACAGGAAATATCCTAAATATCAAAAAAGAAAAAGCATTAAAATAGAAATTGAAATGGAGGTAAAGACATACATGGTAGCTCTATCAAGGGGACATTACCATGTAGTCAGTGCGGAAGCAGACCCTGCGGTTGGCATCAACCAAGAAAGACAAAAAAAAAAACCAAAAGCAAATCAGTTGAAGATATGTCGTGATCTTCGAAAATTGAAATAAAACTACATAAATTAACAGATGAGATGAATTTTTTTTTTCCGGTTGAGAAGCAAAGGTTACAGGTTCAAGTATTTAATTAGTTTGCATGCAAAGATGGAGAACAAAAATCTATCTATAAATAAAAAATTTAAAGATATAGAGGAGACAAAAAAATATACTCTACAAAAAATTATTTAAGCTAATCAAATGGAAATACAGACAGGCACCCAATTATGTTTCAAGATGAACAAGGTAGGTAACTTGGAATTATATATTTTATACTTTTTCTCTCCAATTTTCATTCATTTAATTTTCATCATATGAATAGGATATTTAATATATACATATATTATATATATACCATATCTCCTTCCATATACCATATCTAACCAAAAAGTACAGTTATACCAGGGCTATCTCCTTCTTGGGCTGAGGGCCCAAGAAGGAGATAGCCCTGGTATAACTGTACTTTTTGTACACATAATCTTTAATAACTTTTGATTTATTCATCCCTTTCCACTCAGTTTTTGTCTCATTTCCTTCAGCGTAAAAAAAATATGTAGGAATTTGTACCTTAGTTGTTTAGTTTAGTATTTCAGATCCATAAAGAGGTATAGTCAAGAAGTTGTACTTTTTTTATATTTCTTACTTGCTAAATCCCTTATAAATTCTGAACTATTAGTTCCATTGACTTAATTTCATTCTTGTCATTCAATTTAACATTAAAAACAATACCTACCTCACTTGTCTAAATAGTAATGAAAGTTTATTCTCCTTATGACCTACTCATAACCTCAAGGGGAAGGAACAAATTTCAAAATTAGAAAACTGCCATATTGGACTCAAACTACAACTTTTAAAACCATTTCAAGTTTTCTCCTAATAATTTCTGTATTCAATTGCTTAGGTACTGGCCTATATATTGTACACACAAAAATTTGTTTTTAAAAAACTCAATAATATTTTTCAAATGACCTTTGTTTTAGAAGAAATAGTGATGAACATAAGGGGTTTTCTTAATAAATAATGAAAAAAATGAAAAAGGACTTACTTTCCAGCAGGACATGGTGGAAAACAGCAGAGAGGAAATATATATTTAACTGGTGGTCGAGTCTCTAATATTAATGTCATGTCCATTTCATAATACAGAAAATTCAGCAAAAATATCATAAAGTTATAAATTACATAAGCTTCATAACATTCACGTAGAACATCCAAATAAATACCAGTTTTTGGAAAAGCCAATGCTAACCACTATAAAAAAAATAAAAAAAATATTCTCAAAGTATGTAAAAGTACACATTCTGATAAATGCAATTTAAAAGAGAGAGAAGAAAAGCTTACTGCATTCAGGGCATATATTGGAACCATCCATAATATTCTACAAAAAGAAAAGGAAATTGTTTGTCATAATTTAGAGGGAACATGAAAATATCTTTACTGTGCAGACAAAAGTAGTGTTACAAAATAAAGCAAATGAATACAAAAAAAACAATATCTCTTGACATTTTTTCTAAAAGGAGAGCTTTTGTCTCTTCTATTAAACAGTATATAATGCAGAGATATATCTGTAAAAGGAAGAGTTTGTGCATGCATTTTCTCACAACTCCTGAACCATTTGAGCTAGGATCCGGAAATTCAGATAGCAGGTGAAAGGGGAAATTTTAACCACCCAATCATTCAAACATTTTAATTAGTCTCTTTAGGAGAGACATGTGAAAAAAAAATTTCTCATCTGTTTAGTATATGCCCTTGTTATAAATTCAACTGTAAACGATTTTTTTTTCTTTAAAAATTGAAAAGATAATACGAGTAATATTTGTTAGCTTACAGCTTTATTTAATCAAAACAGGAGGTCATTTGCCTATTCTTTAAAAATCGAATTTTTTTTATATATTATGTCCAATAAGCTCAATAACAAATGTGGATAGCTTGCTACTATTACTCACTGAATTAGTATTTAATTTATTTACAGCAATGCATTTACTTTGTTGATAGTTCCTCCATTGCAAGGTGTTCCCAGTGCTGGCAATAGGTATGAAAGGGGGGGTGCCAAATGAGATTCAGATTAAATGTTCTCAAAAAAATTTTATTTTCCCATTTTTTTCTCTAATATTGCTTGCTTGAAAAATATATTTACATGTTATTATTTTTTTAATTATATATTCTTAGAATTACTTTCTATAAGGTTTAGGTTAAATGAGAAAAAGTTTTACTGATGGAAAAAACAGCATGCAGCAATAAATCTACTTGTTTATAATTGAATATAAAGAGTTCCACATTTTCCAAAGGCTGAGATAGAGATGCGAACTTGTTAAGGACTGTGGATAAATATTTTGTAGGGGAAGTCATTGAATGTATGTTTCTTTATTTAATAAATTCGATTTATAGGGTTTTTACCAACTACTACTTTTAGATCATTTAACGGCTTATCTGAAAAGGCACTTTTTTAGAGTTGCATGCTGCATTTAACCTTTCATGACTTAACCAAATGACTTGGCAAAATAACCAAAAATTTGCAAATTTCAGTTTATAGTTCTCTACAGTTTTTTAAAATATGTTGTTGAATCTGGAGCAGTTATATCTATAGGTGAGACGAGCTGTAAACTTCACGCAATATTTTAAAAGTGTGAATGCTACACCAAAACCGGGAGGTAATGCATTTAAAGAATGACCATGTGAACTCTTCATTTAATTTTAATTTTTTTTATTTACTGTGTTATGTCTAGCTAATTTTATGAAAACAGGAAAAAAAATTTAAAAACAAAACATTACTTTGGAATGTAGGTTTAAAATTAAAAGATTTTTTTTTTGTAATGCTTTTACTTTTTAATCAAAGATAAAAAAAGAATGCAAGAATGATTTTTTTATGCTATGTCCGATGTGTCATTAATTATTTTATTACATATGATCTTTACTGTTTTTTTTTTTTAATGAAAAATCCTTTTTGAATACATTTTCAAAAATAAATGTATTTTAATTAAAAATGTATGTTGCATACTTTAAACTATTAATCATTTTGTTTTTTGTACAAATATGAAATAATAATAGGAATTGATTTTCTAATAAAAAACAGTGTGTGTTCAGATAGTTATGAGTCTTGGATGTGAACTACATGTGAACCTGTGTGCCAAATGTACTCTTAATATAAAATGTGAAATTGTTGATTTAAATCTTGATATTTAATGTAGAAAACACTTTGGAAAAATTTCTTGAAGATGAAATGTCTGCTTTTGATTTAACAATTTTCTTAATAAATGATTAGGGAGAGTAAAATGTAGATGTAGATGAAGAAAACACCAATGACTGGTTAAATTTTGATGCAAATGATCAGGAAACAGAACATTTAAGCAATAAAGAAATTTTAGGTGGAGTATTAGGTGCAGATGAGGGAAAAAAAAAGGAAGATCAGACTAAAAAATAAGTCATGATATACATATTGAAGAACAAATTCAATACAAAGAAGAGCAAGATGCTGTGATACTTTGTGCCAAAATTTTGCTAAAAAATCCGTCATATAATTTTAATAGAAAGGTCAGTGTAATGGCAGGTCATATTCTTAAGCAGAGTACAAAATGTAATTACCAAATAATAAATTAAGTAAATAACAATACAAATATAACAGCAATTGGCTTTCCCTTTTAGTTAATGATATCTTATACAACTCTTATAAAAGTAGGTTTATTATATAGAATCAAATGTTATTTTGGAGATATTTCATAGTTGTACATGAAGAAGATTTATGTATCCTCATCTACAACTAAAAACTAGAAAAAAACGTTCCAAGAAACTAAAACAAATATCCTAGAACTAGACCAACTCTAAGGGTATAACTCGCAGCCCCCTTCGGGCAAGCCTTAACATTAAATAAATAATAACAAGAAACTATAGCAATAAGATAGCACTTTAAAAAAACTTCATTTGGCTACAAAAATATGCAGATATCCACGTCAACTTTTTTTTAAACCTGCTTATTTTTGAGACCAAGTGAAGTTTTTTAATCAAGTGAAACCTCGACATATGTTTTTAAAGTTTTTGTAAGCTTAAAATCACTTTGGTGACTTGGCAATAGTAGTTGCATGAACAGATACCAATGCAGAAATATCTTAGAAGAGGAATCTGAATCAGAATTATCTCCAAATCTTGGCAACGTTAAAGCAATGGCCCACGAAAACTAATAAAACAAAGAGTTTTTTTACTTTAAATAAAATTAAGAAAAATATGTTCTAATACAGTTGAGTTTGTCTCGTAATGTGTAGATAAGGATACGAAAATATTCCCCAGATTTCCACACAGATAAGGGTGCTATATAAGAAATTGATATGTTATTTAAGGAATTATTTTGGTGAAAAGTAAATTTAATTATCTTTTTCTAATACCTTATGATATATCTTTGCAAATAAGGCTTATTATAGTGAACCAAATGCTGTGTTATTTCCCAGAAAGTAATGGGTAGGGCCATCATAACAAACACTCCACTTGTAAACCATGCTTGAACTTGGGGTGATGTTCCATTTTTTTGTAGTTTGACACAAAAGAAAGGTAACAAAACCAAAATAATCAGAGCATAAGATAACATCACAACTGGACGAATCCATAGTCTCCATCTCGAAAAAAACCAGCCCGTGCACATAGTTTATGATGAAATTTTATAAGATATTAAAAATAGAGACAGCTCTCATACATGGCTTAAAATAAAATATCATCAAGAAAACTGCTGTGTAAGCTTTTGGCTTCAAAATTAGGAAATAAAGCACATGCTTAAACTGATTTCTAAAATTTATTTAAAGTAATTTTTACAGCATAATAGCACTAATAGCTAACAAATTTTAGAAAGACTCATAACTATGTTTGTTTACATTCACTGTTGTCATGAGTCACAGTGACGTAATATTATGGCTTCCAACTTTTTATATGGAAAGAACTGAAAACGTTGAAAATATTCCAGTAAACAATGTAAATGCGCATAGAAAATGAACAACAAATTCTATCTTTGCAGTCAGATTTGAAAAAAATAGTTAGGGAGAATTAATTAAACTGAAACTTTGTTTAAAAACCCATTTGAATAAATATGTATTAAAAAAACTAGTTGACCTTGAAAAGAACTTCTTTCAAAATTTTATTTCCTTATCTTTGAATTTTAGAAATACAGCTTTTCCTTAATCGTTATCGGAATGTTCCCGTAAAAAAATAAATAAATAAAAAAGGACCCAAGACGGATGACAACAAAGCTAAATATACTGTCGTGAGACGATATAATGATTTTACATTTGCAGGAAATTTTAGAGAAAATATTTTTGTGCATTTTATTTTCTTAGATTTTTCCTTATTAGAAATTGTAAGTCTCTCTTGAGTTTAATAAGTAAGTAATTAATCCTCTTTGCATTGAAAATGACGTTTTTGTTCTCATATCCATTTATTCTATATAAATTTTGCCGGAAGGTGCTCTTACTTATATTTTTAAAATATTTTATACTACTTTAGAATTCTAATATTTTTTAGTTTATAATCTTAGTTATATCAATATAATATTCTATATATATATCAATATAATATATTAATATAATATATTTATATATCTTAGTTATATCAATATATAATTTTTTCTTTAAGGAAATAAATTTCTATTTTTAACCATAAATTCCATGCTTATTTGAATGAATTTCGTAAAACTTCAAAACATTTTTTCCAATATATGTAGGGAAACTATTAGTGATTACATAATCTTCTTTGATTCAAGGAATAAATAATGAATAAGATTTAAGATATGTTTTTTCTTATATGATATCACATACATGATTACTAGATTAAATTCTGTTTCATTGCTTTGAATTACTACACTATTTTGAAAAAAAAAATGACGATTTTTGGATTAAGTCTTAGTCAGAGATAAAGTCTTAGAATAATAAACCTATTTCTTAAAATGACCTAATTATACTTAGTGATAGGTTCTGAATTTAAAAACATACCTTAAAATATTGGTGATTTTTTTAAACAAGATTAAATGCAAATAATTACATTTAATTTTATTAAAATTAATGATCTTTAAATTATTTACCTGAGATATTCCCATTTTGGTAACTTGGTCCATGTGTCAATTCCAAAACAGAGTTATTGTGGTGCCTACTGCCTCTCCTGATATATTCCTCCTTCCTAATATTTGGTTAAAGCAAGAAGATTTGCCAATTTTTATATTATCGCTAAAATACAGTAGTACAGCAGTTATAGAAAAATAATTATAATAAGTATAAGTAGTTATTATAAATATGGTTGGCAGATTGTACAGCAATGATAATCTTGTTTTAAAAGTTTTGGTATTTTTTTAAAAAAAGAATACCTAATTAAAATATTACTGTTAATTTTTAAAATGAGAATAATTGTGTTTATAGGAGGAAATATTCATGTTTAAATACATATTTTTTACTTAATTCTTTATGCATGCAGTTTAATGTTATTTATTAATATTTGTAGGTGGTTATGGCGTCTAACAGTCCTATGAGCGAGGAAACAGATAAGCAATTAGAATTACTTGAGCTTATTAAAAACAATCACGATGAGGCTTACTTGTATGTCTCTCAAGGTCTTGCCTATCAAGAGCAAAAACAATACAGTCTTGCCACTGACATGTATAGAAAGGGACTGGATAAAATTAATGCAGCATTGGATGTTAGATGTGATAAGGAATATTGTAAAGGTCCGAAGTGGGATAATGCAAAAAAGCTTCAAGAAAAGATGAAGAAAACGTCTCAGTTGATTCGTAGTCAACTCCAGGGTATTTCTTTTGACAGTGCGTTTGCTAACCCTCCTTATACACCTCCAGAGCCATTTGAAATGCCTCCAAGCTACGACGAAGCATGTGAACATGACTTTGTTGTTGTACCTAGGCGTTCATCGTACCCGGTAGAAGTGAATGGTGCGAATCATAGTGATGATAAAAGTCGGAGGAACAGTGCGGAAGTGGCAGAGCTGTTTTGTGTGCCTGAAGGTGTGCAGTTATTTTTCGTTTCATATGATGGTTCTGTGACTACAAACAGCACTCAAACCTCTCTGTATGTTTATCAGTTTATTGATAATAAAGATGTTGAAATAAAACCTCCTGCCTGGCTACAAATCGGAAGTTGGACTTATCCCCTTATACCTGGACAATCACCAGCTTTAGAGAGTAGCTATGGTGCTTTCCTATTTCCTAATGTAGGAAATGCAAGAGGCAAGATAAATATTTTTTTTCTGATGTCTTTCTGCTTTCCTTTTCTTAATTTTAATTTGAATACCGAATATATTTTCTTGCTATGTAGATTTAAATATTAAATTTTAGTTAGGTAAATTTTCTTCTTATTATGCTTATTTTTTTCATGACAACTTCCTGTTTTTAATTATGAATGTAAGGAATAGTGATTTGGCTGAATGCCGAATATTCGGCGAAAAAAATTGGCCGAATAGCAAATTTTTTTTTAAATGAAAATTATTCATAAATATTATTTATATAGAAATAAGTTTAGTCATTATAGAAAAATAATCAAAACTTAGCTGTATTATTGGTATCCCCCATATCAATGGAGCATGCCGGGGAAAAAGCGTTAATAGAAAGGTTTAAGATAATAATGATAATTAGATATTACGAGGATATTTCCGTATCGTGATCTGTTGTGCCAAATACATTTGCCAAGGTGCCAAATTGTTTTGAAATTGCGCATTTAAAAAAAAACATGTCGATATTTTCCCGGGCATTTCACTTTTATACAGAAACAAAAATTCTGTTCTTGTTGTACCATGTTTTTAAAGTATTCATTAATTTTTAATTTTCTATATTACAATTTGATGCTAAACTGTATATTTATCTCTGTTAGTGTGACATAACCTCTGTCTGATTATCATGTAGTTTTAACGTTCATTGTAAATTAAATTTTAAATTGTATATTTACCTCTGTTAATATGACTCCTCTCATTTGTTTTTCTGATGAAGGTGTACTTTATATGATACAGGTTTAGGTTTTTTAATAAATTTTATAACTTAATTTAAATGATGCTTTTATTCATTCGTTTGTTTTTGTAGTGAAACTATCTTTTACCCTGAATTTTTATTTCTGCCTGAGAATCTTCAGGCAACATTTAACTTTCAATTTACATTCTTAAAAATGTCTTCAAAATAATTTCAGATTCTGCTGTTGGTGTAGTTTTACCTCCTTCTGTCAGTTCAGAAGAAAGGGCAGCCTTTTTGCAGTTGTTGCATCAGCTTACTGCACTTAAGGAAGAAAGAAGAATTGAATTGAAAGATGCTGAAGTTCAAGCAGAGCATACATCATCACCATCATCTCCTATAAGTGAAACAATTTCAAAAGGCATTGTTACAGGTGAGTTAAATTGAATGATTACAAAATTTTTATGTTCCCATTATAAAGGATTTTTTTTATTTTTTTTATGATAAAATATTTTGTCCCAATTTTTAGCCTGAATTTTGTGTGTTTTGAACTGCTAATGTTCTGTGTATATAAATGAAGATTTTAAAGGAATTTATTTTAAAAATCAAAAAATTTTGATTTACAGCTTTATTTGAATTAGAGACACACATTAAAATTGCTTAATTTTTAGCTCAAGTTTATGAGCCATCCATTATTTATATATCACTTGAATTTCAAATTATAAATATAGAACTTGTTATCAAACCACTAGTTATCATATTGAATTTTTAAATTGTAAATTGAGAGATCAACCTCAAAATTACTTATGTACAAAAACATTAAAGGGCGTATTCAAACTGTTTTTGTTTCCAGATTATTGAAACCCCACTTTAAAATCATTTGTTTGATGAAGTCATGAACTTAATTGGGTATAATATGAAAAAAGCACAACTACTTCCACTTACTAGGAATAACATTTACCTTTTAGTTTAATTAATAAACTGAGTTTTAAATATGTTTACTAAATTCATAATATGTTTACTAAATTCATAAACTTCGGTAAAACAACAATATAAATTATTTCCAAAGGAACTAGACTAATACAATTCCAACCTGGCGAGTAGCGACTTATAAACAAGACACTCCGTTTGATGCTTTTACTTGTTGCTAGAAATCAGGTTTGCAGAAAATGCTGTTTACTAGTTAAATTTAGTAGGAATAACACGATCTGTGACGTAGACTATAGTATACCCAATTAAAAAAATTTGTAATGTTCTATTTTATACATGTTGTTTTTTTTTTTTTTAATGAGATGTATTTATGAAATTTTAAGTGATTAATTTTTATTTTATAGCTATAACATAACTATAAAACTTTATGTGTAATGGCCTCAATCAATTTTAAATTGTTCATTGATGAATTAATAAAATTATGCTCAAAATTGTTAAAACCATCTCATCCAAACAATGTAATTCTGAAATTGGAAATAGTATATGACCACTTTTTTAATGCTCACTTTTATAGCTGTTTTCTGTCTAATAATTAATAAATAAATTTTGTTCCCTCTTTCCTTGCCTAAGACCTGTTTTAATCATTCCACTCGGCAATGACGTCATATATGTAATGACCACCTCTGTATGATGACTGTCTCTATTTGTGACCACCACAGAATTCATTCCTTAGACTTTGTGTTGAAGAAAACCTTTAGGCAAGATCATCAAAACCTCCCCCCAGCTACCAGGCAAGCCTCTACACCAAATGCGGAAAAAGTCAATGAGGAAACGTTGGAAAATTTAACTTGATTCATAAAATAAGCTTTTCTTTTCTATAGTTTTTGTTTCAAATTTTTTTACATAATTTTAACTATTTAATAAAAAGATGTTTCATGATATCTAGCATATCAATTGATCAATTTATGTGCCTTGTACTCAACCTGTTGTAAACATAAACTGAAATCATACTTGTATGATTTTTCAACATTTGGTTGATACCATTTTCCCAAATTTATTTTTAAATAAAGTTGTGCAAATTTTTAATTTATTATCCTGAGAGGAGAAAGAATTTGAAATTTGCATATTGGACATTCTTCTCAGATGCAAGAACTGTCACAAAATTTTAAAAGAGCATTTTCAATCACTACTTACCCGTGACACATATTAAAGGAGAAGTAAATTACATATTTGTTAACTAAATTAAAGAAATATTTTTAATTTATTAATGCATTTATAAATTTATTAACAAAAAAAGAGTGATTCATTATAGTGCAGTAATTAATAAGATGGTGAATGAAATTTAAATTCATTTATATATTTTTTATTTTTGAATTTATTTGTTAGTTTTAGCTTTTAATAGTGTATTTGTGAACATGAACTTGGTGCCCTTTATGGCTGTGCCTGAAGACAGTTATTCCCTCTTGTCACCCTCTGGCTATGCCAGTACTTCTTCAGTTTATATCTTTTCTAACAAATCCTTGATTTTGTGCACTGTTATTTAGAAAATTACTGTTTGAAATATTGCTTGATTTTTACTCATTTAGGTGCTGAATATTTATCTGCTGGAATTGTAAAAGGGGCTGCATTAAGCAGCGATCTGATTCATAAAGGTGCTACGAAAGCAAGGCAAAGGATAAGCCCCGAAGATAAACCTGTTGTTGTAGATCCTAGAGTTAGAGAAGGCTTAAGAATTGCACATGAAGCATCTGGTTGTGCTTTAAAAGCTACTGGATATTTAGGTAAAAAAAAAACTTTTTTTGTTTTGATCACAACATATAATAATAAAAAGTTTATCTTTATATTAAGTTGTGTGAATGAGTATTTGATACTTTCTTATTTTTAAAGAGCTATGAAATTTATCCCAAAGGTAGATGATTTTTATGGCTGGGGTATCATTTTCTCTGCAATAGTGTGCTTATCTTTTAATAATATTTAAACTTTATCATATCTGGTAACTTTGATACTCATAAAATTTATTGGGATTAGACCAATGTTTTTCTAAATCTCTCTCTAGGATTTTGACAGTGCCTTGGAAATTTATCGTAATAGTGGATTTCTCATAATATGCCATACTTTTTGTATAGAGCTTTTACTGTGCGTATATATATTATGTGTGTGTGTTACGGTGTTAAAATATGTTGAATTTAATATATAGTCTTGAATACCGAAAGGGTACTTTAAAATTACACATACAGAGAAGTAATGCTATAATTTTATTAAATGCGAAAGGGTTTAGGGCCAGACCCACCACAATGGGGCATCTACATTATGACTTCTAGATTGAGAAGAAGGATTTGACCTTGGATGGGTTTCTGGACAATATCTTTAAAAATCACTTAGCAGCATGGGACTGATCAATTTTTCATGACAAAGATCATATCATCACATTGACTAACATGAGTCAATCAATATTCTTACTCGATTCCTTGGAATGGTTTTAATTGATTGTGTGTTAGATAATGTGCTCTATTTATAGATTAGATTTAGTATTTCATTCTTTTAACATTACACAATACGCCTTTAGTGTCATGGGAAATTGATCAGTCTCGCATTACTTTGATTGATTAATATTTAAATATATTGTACAGAAAGATATAAAAACCTTCTCCAAACTCATATACTTCTTCTCAATCTAACAGTCATTATGTAGAGGGAGCATTGTTGCGAGTCTGCCTTGATTCCCTTTTCTATTCAATAAAATTGTGACACCACTTTGTTATTCAAGACTGCCTTCTCAATTCAAAATATCTTTCCCCATAACATACATACACACATAGTGAAATAAATTTATTTGTAATTTATGTATCATATCTATCTCCTATGTATTCTAACTATACTTTTTTTCTTAACTTTCTTTTAAGTGCGTAAGCTAGGAGATTTGACAGTGAGCTTGGGCAGACAGTTGGCACCTCATATTCGTGAACAAAGTACTAAACTTTTAACTTCAGCTTTTAGAAGAGATCCGGCTGATGCTAAGGATACAGTCGATGGAGTTCTTACCGTGGCTGCCGGTGGCTTGCAAGGTAAATATGTGTTCCCTCTTGTTAAGAGTAAAGGACAAAATATATATGTAGTAGAAACTAATTTTTTTCAGTGGTGACTTTTTGCAAAAATGTCAAAAAAGTAACTTAAGGAAGAGGTTGACCGACATATATCATCATATATATTGTTGTATATAAATACCTAAAAAATTCACAAGCTAACAGATGATACTAAAAAATATTACAGCACAGACGAAAAAGGGTTGTAGTTTGTAATTAAATCTAAATTCTTTAAATATTTTTGTATATGCTTTGTATATTTAACTGGTAGCAAGCTGGATAGCGCTGCTTAACTAAATGTTCTTCTCAATGAAAAATCCCTTAGGAATATGAATATACGGTTAATTTGTTAATGAAGGGTAAAATTCGCTTAGGGCGAATTACATCAGTAGTATGACCGATGAACAACAAACAAAAGGTGCAGTTGGTTTGCTGAGCTCTTTCTTTGAAAAAGATTGATTTGCAGTTTCACTGTAACCTTTTTTTTTTTTTGCTGAAATATGGCACACAAAATTAAATTTTCAAATCAGCAGATTATTATTATTTTTTTGCACTTTGTTTCTCCTTCTTAAAAACAATCTATTATGTATGTGTTGCAAAAAAGGCCTGATATTAATCAGATTTTTTTGTAAAATGTCTGGATTTTTATTTTGAACCTCTATAAAGCCTGCATTACAGTTAAAAACTAATATGATTTGTTAATAGGATATATTTTAATCAGTTTAGTGTTTGGAAAAAGATGTCGAAGACAGTAATTTTGTTCTGTCATGTATATTTCCACTTTAGTTAGAAGTTATTTTATGTTGATAAATATCATTATTTTTTAGTATTTCAGTTTTCAACATTTAATACTAATAAGTTAGTTGTATGTCAAGACATTAACATGAAACAAAATATTAAATAGTATTAGTATTAACTTGGAGTAAAGAAGCTGGTTCAGATGTAAAGCAATTTTGTTTAATATTTTGTAAAGTTTTTGTTACATTGTTAAAAATTTTGTTTCACAGTTTGAGTCATTTGTTTTTTTAAATTATTAATAATTATTTCAGGTTTCTCAACTATTTATATGGGTTTAGAGAATGCAGCTAGGATGTTAGCTTATAGTCTTAGTGCTGAGACAGTTAACATAGTTGGCCATAAGTAAGTTGATGTTTGCAACGTGATTTTAAATTTTCCTTTAATTTTTATGATAAGTTATTTCAACTTATTTGAGCATCACAATGTTAAGTAGTAGTTCTACAACATGCTTTACAAGAACCGTATTCACTCAACAACAGTATGAAATTTTACACAAATACTCCCATGAGCAGAATTGAATCAACATGACTATATATGATTACTATAGTTTTGCCAGTGTCCATCCAAAATAGACATTATCTCTACAGTTGGAAGAATATAAAAATAAAAAGATGAAGTAAATGAAAGAGTTATAAATCTTATTTAAAAAAGAAAATGAGTATTTTCAAATCAATATTTAAGTACCATGAACAGTTGTAAGATCATGGCATGTGATGTCACCACCATAGCAATTGCTACGCATAACAAAATTAAAAGCTGAAGTCGGTAAATAAAAAATAATTGATTAAAAGAGGTTACTTTTTAAATATTTCTGATGAGCGGTCAGATGTACAATCGATTTATTGTATAATCAAGGCGAATCAACAATACCTAAGTTGAAAACTTGGATAAATTAATAGAATGGACTTTTTTTTATTCAACAATTAGTAATAAGTTTGTTTAATATTATTTGCAAAACATGATCATTTCAAGAGAAATGTCAGTGTTGGGTGATCTTTCCCAAAATAAGGGGAAGAATTTTGCAATCATCGTCACTTAATAAACTCTTAAATTATTCTGTGGGGACTGCCATTGTTCTGCCGTCACAGTTTAGAGCGTTTTTTACTGAAGAGCATATGTGTATTAACCATAGCAATACAACTAGTTATCTAAATTGTTTCTTTTGTATAGTACATTTTGTATAGTACATTTTGAAATAATCGAATTTGTAATACAAATTAGCTTACTACATCTCTGTATCTCCTTAGAAAGATATTTGCATGAATTAACTCAATCCTTATTACAGATATGGTGGAGAAGCTGGTGAAGTGGTCGGTGATGCTGTATCATCAATTGGAAATTTAGCATTAACCACGCATAATGTTCAATCATTAGGAGTTAAATCCATTGCAAAAAAAACAGCTAAAGATACCGGAAAAGCAATTCTAAAAGACTATAGTGAACGAGTTAATTTACCTGATAAGTAACTATGAATATGGGCTGCTATTGTTTTAAGTATTTTTATTTTACTGTCAAGCTACCAAAAGAACTGCCCTAGACACTAGACTCGTGATTTAAAGGTTTCAGATCTGAGTCACTACCTATAGTACTGTGGGGTTTTATACTCTATTTTGGCTAAAAAAATTAAAGTTTCAGCTACGAATTTTAAAAGCAATGCAGTGATAACGAATCAAGCAAGTTTGCAACTTGTGGTTGTGTTTTATCATTTACAAAATAGCAGCTTTAATATCAGACTCTTTTATCTAGAGCAGTTTTTCTGTCCGCTGAATGGTATTTACATATTGTTATTATGTTTGTTAACATGTTGTACATTTATTGAGTTTGTTTGCGAACTTGAAAATTCTGTATTGCTCTCTTTATTTAAAAAATATGCACACACACTTATTGTAAAATATACAGAATTCAGAAGTTCAGATTTTTAAAAAAATTATTTTAACAGGTTTTATTTTACATTAATGTTTAATTAAATGCGTTAATGTTTGTTATGTAAATAATTACCAACATTATAGTAAAGTTAGAGTATACTAAAAGTTCTTGTTTAGCTCATTTATTTTACAAAGCATTGAAATGCTAAAATTTTTTACAAAACTTTCTTAATTAGCTTTTCAATCTTTGTTAACTACTATTACTTTTCTTAAAATTTAACACTTTTCTTTTAAAAATTTGCTTTAGGAGTCATCCGTATAATTAATAAAAGAATACCTCTAATTTATAAATATTTATATATTGATTAGACAGTTGGTCTCAAAATTGTTTTTACTCTATGACCACCTTTGCTAACAACTGGCTGTTGAGCAACTACGAGTCCATAACAAACAAGCATTGCTTAAACTCTATTAAAATCATAATATTTTATAACTGATCAAAGAACAGTCAACATGCTGAGTTTTAAAAAAAAACTCCTTGGAAATTTTATTTTTTGCGAGTTGCTTTTTAATATTTCATAGTTCTATAGAAAAATCATAATAATTTGAATACTTAGAAGTTTTATTAGCTTATTTTCTACATACTTCAAACATGGGAGAAAAAAAGATTTTTTAGTTGACAAAATAGAAGCTCCTTTTATTTTCTGGATTCTTGTTATACTATTTATTAACACTAATTTATATTGTTAGTAATAAATTCTATTATAAATGTTATAAACTACTGCTTAGAGTTTTACTAATAAATTTGATTATCTACTTTTAATACATATATTTATTAAATTAAAATTATTAAGATTTCACCTGTACTGTGATAAAAAAAAAAAGTAGAATATATTTCTATATATTTTGAGCTTAGAGAATTATTGCTCTTTGTCTATTTTTGTATTGATATTGTTATTGTAATTAAACAGGATTTTTCAAAGGCAAATGTAAAATAAAAGAACCATGTTTATGCACTAATTTGATTGTCAAAGTAAATTTAAACTATTTTGATATTAGTTAGATGATTATAGTAATATTATACAAGATTTATATTACTTAGAGCTACATAACTGTGTGCTTTCGAGACAAACAAATAAATATTTAATTATTTTTATTGGTTTAATTTTGCAAATGATTTGCAATGTCTATATTTAATTATGTGTACTTATAAAGCTTAATTAATTCAAACTTATTGATACAAAGTCGTCAGAAACCGTCAAACAGATGATTTGGCCAGTGAGATTTTTTAAAGAAGAACTTAATGGTTGCAAATTTTTCATAATTTATTTATAAAGTTTTTTCAACTAAGTTTATAAAACAGGAGTAAAATCTTTACTTACAATTATACTTCTAATAAATTTATTAAAAAAGACTGGTTTATTTCATGATGCATTAAACCAGTCTTTTTTAAAACATATTTTAAATATTTTTCTTTGTGAATGATGTTTGTTCTACATCAAAAAATAGTTTCTTCCCATGTTATCTCAAAGAGTGTTCAGTTGAAAAAGTGTGTCCGTCCTTGTAGCATAATGGTTCATTTCCACAAGAATTAAAACAATGCAATTCAAATTTTTACAGATTTTGTGATTGGATAAAAATGTTGCACTTAACATTAAAATATTGGTACTGAAATAAAAGTTTATTCATACTTACCATCAGATTATATTCAATGCATATATACACCTTTAATTTTGTTACTTCAACAATATTTAACAACAAACCCCAAAAAATATTTTCATGCTAAAATTAAGTATTAATTTATAAACTGTATTTTAAGCTAAAAATATAAATAAATAAAATAAAATGAAAACTTTGTTAGTCAAAGTACTTTAAGAAGGTAATAATGTTAAAGGAAGCATTTGTTTTGTTTAATTGAAAAGAAGAGCTTTTTAAACTATGTTATGTGTAAATTTTTGCTTTAGGAAATCTAAATTAAATGTATAAAAGTTTTATATTTCATGGTTATATGATTAATTTTGTTTTCTAACTTAACTGATGTAATTTACAGCTTTAATGTTGTTTATGAATAAGCAATTATAGTAGAGAAACTGCTTATACATTAAAGTAATAAAAAGATTTTTACTGTTTTTATAAAACTCTTTTTAAACTGTTAAGAAGCTAGCATTTTTCATTGCACATTGTCAATACTTGCCAGATTGCATCAAGCACAAATGTATGCATGCAATTTTTATGACATAAAACAGATTTTATTTTTCTACGATTCTTTTGTGTGTACGAACAGAACTATTGATTTATTAATTTGATTTTCAGAAATGTTTATACAAAATAGTGTATAGCATTTAATAAAAATGAAGATTATGTAAATAGGAATATTTGAATAGTTCTGTTCTTCAAATATTTTTCCACAAAGAATGACAAAATAATATTTTTTAATCTAATTATTTTTTTAATAATCTAATTAATATGATCTTCTGTGTTATTGATTAGAAATTTGTCATATACAAGTATAAAGAGGCACATTAAATAATAAAAATTTTATTTGTTTATATCTTATTGTTTTAGTATAAGTTGGAAAAGTAATTTTGAACTAGGTCGAACATCTCTATTTTTAAAAAAAAAGTTTGACTTTGTAAGCAAAACCTTTCAACTGATGCAAAAAAAAAACTTAAGAAACTGCAGTAATAATTTTAAAAAAAGTGTGAGATTTTCCACTTATTAAAAACAACGATAAATAAAATTTTATTTCATTTTTTTAATTAGTGAAATTATGGCAAATCTTATTGGATTGACCTTAACTCTTAATTGTAGATTATCCCATTTTTGAAACTTTGGTGACTTTATAATATTTTGAAGTAAATAATTTTTAAATAAAAAATAGCTGTAGGTTTTCCTTTAAAAAAATGCCTATTATTAAATGCTATGATAAATCACATTACAAAATAATCACCAGCAGTAATTATAAAAAATTATATTTCTTTTTATCTGGATGAAATTCAAATTACTTAAAATTGTTGCTTAAAAAATAATTTCAAAAAGTTCTTCACAATAAAAATTTTCTTAAATAAGTTTTAAATATTTAAGGTGGTATATTAAATGGTAGTATTCTAGAAATAATTACATTTCAATAAAATAACTAATTAACTTGTTCTCAGGGATAATTACTGTTGTTTAATGATGATCTTATGTTGCTTCCAAAATAGAATCTTAGATAAAGCAAGGTTTGACAGAATCTAATTAGAACATTTTTGTTAAAACGCTGCTTGATTGTAACTAAATAAATTGTTTAAAAAAAATTACAATAATTTTGTGTTTAGCTTTAACATTACATTTTCTTTTAAGATGTTGCATTACATTTCAGAAAGCTTTCATGATTATGAAAGGTTTTTAGTATGTTTTATGGTTTTAAAAATAGAATGGAGTTAGGTAGTTACGCTGCAAAAAAATTTAATTGAACATTTTTATGAGTTAGAAATATTTAATAAAACTGGAGAATTGACTGATTCTCATTTCAGCTGATCTATCAGTTTATCTTATTTTCAGTTACTAAATACCAGTTAAATTTCAACTTTCAAACAACTTAAAAATAGTATTCATTTTAATAATATTTGAATAATTGTAGCTTTTAATTTGATCACTTTATCCCAAAAAACTAGCCTATTGAGTTTATTTATTTGTATAATACAATAAATAATTCATAATTTATGTATGATTATTTCATAAAATTAAGCCAACTACGCTATAGTTCTTGATTTAAAAATTAAAGAGAAATGGCGACACCAGTTATGCTTTTAGTTGTTTTTATCAATCAAAATTATTAAAAAAACAAACTTTTTAAAGTATACTTAACCATAGAGGAAAATGGTACGTGTATTAAACGATCATGCCAACATTAGTATACTCTGTTTTATTCATAAATAAAATTAATTCCCAGAATTGTATTTTTAAAGATTTACTTTGAATTTATTTAAGAAAATTAATTTTAATAAAACACCATTTTTTTCGAAACTTTATTAAATATTAGCTTAAAAAGCATTTAAAAACCAAAAATTGCCCACTGGCGGTTTTGCAAGTAAAGTTTCTTATTTTAACCTGCAGTCTTTGCATAGCAAAACTGGTTTTTCCATGTTATTAGGTAGTAAAATAGTGTGAAACGGAGAAACATTATCCCAATATTGTCTATTTTTTAAACTGTCAGTGGGTTAAAATAAAAACTATTGTTTTTTTGAAATATAAATTCTATAGGTATAACCTCCAAGATACCTAAATTTTCGATAAATAGATTGCTATCCGTTTTGTGAGGATTTGGAAACAATAAATTTCATCTATAAATGCAATCTAAAAATTAGTTTATTTTTAATTCTGTTGATTGGGGGCAAAATGACTTAGTTAAATTTGATTTTCCAGGATCAAAGTATTTTGCATATGTTTTATCAAATGCAAACATTAAAAATATTTAACAATCAAAATATTACAAATGCTGAAATTATCTTTCATAACAAGTCATACTATAAAATTTCTCTTATTGATGACCTATCAGCATAAAGTAATCGGTGTGCAATTTTAGTTGTATTTTTTCTGAAGTATCTTTACTTCCTAAAATTTCTTTTAATCTGAAAAAGAAATATAAATTAATAATGTCATTTATTTAAAGTGTATTAAATGTTATAAGAAAAGAAAAACTGTACAATGCCAAACAATAAGCATTTTGTACTAATTTCTTTTCTTTACGGCAGATTTAGGCTTCCTGCTATGGAATATTTTTAATAAATAATAGTGTCAAAATATTTTCAGCATTGTGCAAAATTTAACTGATAAATCCAGATGCTTTCGGTTCTTCAAATAATATGCATAACCTTAATTTGATAATTAAATATTATGAGACCTGACCAGTAGATCATCTGCCTTCTATTATCCAGGTATGAGAATTCATCGCTAATTTCTGCTTTTTTATGATTTTTTTCCCGACCTCTGATTTTTGTTTGATTTTAATCCGATTTCCACTATAATACTATTTTTAAAAAATTGCATGTTAGGGAAATGAAATCTGGAGTTGAACATAGTGGCATTTTGTTACACCGCGAAAAACACTCAGTTATAGAATGCACTAAACTCTTTCATTTAAAAAAAAAGTTACAAATTTGAGGTGTAATTGTCTCCACTAGATTGGTCATATATTGATTTTTCGAAATTTGCATATCGTAATAGTATGTTAAAAAAGATCAAAATTTGACCAAAAAAAAACTATGTGGAAATCCTAAACTCTCGGAAAACGCGATCAACAAAACAATGCGGACAATTGAGTGCATGAAAAAGTGATCTAAAAAAAAAATTTTTTTTTTTAAGTGATTTAATATAAAGAATTTAAAAAATTTCTGAACATCCATGGCAAAAACAAAAATGCGATCGATAAAACCACGTGAGTTTAGGGGTAAATCGTCAAGAATCCAGGGCGTAAAAAAAGCGATTCTTCAAATGTGTGATTTGAATATTCTCGTGTATGGTGTTAGGTTTCATGTCTCATGTACCTATGGGGTGTAGTGTGGCAGGCCTCCTTGTGGTGCACCCTGGGTAACGCTGAATCTGCTACAGCCTTCGCCAATTTCTTGCTGTCTTGTACTGATTTTGAAGACTATATGAAGGTTTTTAAAAATGTTTTAAAAAACTGTCCTTTCAAGGGCACGGACAACCCCGGCCTTAAGTTTCTTTTCTGGAATGCCGGTGGCCTTACTATTGACTAGTTTACTGAACTTAAATATATTATTTCTCATGAAAAACCTGATGCAATTGGCATTGCTGAAAGCGGCTCATCTGCTGACAAGCTTGAATTTTTCCCAATGAAGAACTATAAATCATATTCTCTTAGACGTTCTCGCCAAATAGCATCTGGAATTGTTATATTCGTTAAAGACACTCTCATTGCAGAACCACTGATTAAACATACCATGACATCCTCTGACTTTTTGGAAGCAATTGAATTGAGAGTGTGGAAAAACAACATTGGCTTTCGTATTTCATTCATTTATAATCCACCTCGAAATAAACCTGACCTAAATTCTCTCATTGTGGATTGGAATAAACACTCCATTATTTTAGGTGATTTTAACGCCCACTCCACCAGATGGGGTTATGACCAAAACTGCCCTATTGGCAATTTGGTAGAAGATTTTATTGATACAAATCAGATTGATTTTATTGAAAACTCAAAGGCCTCACCTACTTTTCTTTCATATGGGGGCAGTTCTTCTCATCCTGACTTATTGCTGTCTCACCCACGATTAACACCTTTGATAAAACACGACCTTATCATGGCTCCTGGTGGTGCTGGTCATAAGATCCTTTCTGTGATTATCTCAGAGCCAAGACTGACTAAAGAACGCAGAATTACTCGATGGAACTTGAGCAAGGCTAACTGGAAGAAGTATGCAGAATTAACAGATTCACTTTTGGGAAACTGCCCTTTACATGAAAATAATGACACGGCCCTTGATCGGATCGTGATCACAATCTTGCAACGTGCCAATGCTTGTGTCCCCAGGGGTCACATTAAAAATGCAAAACCTTTCTGGAATGATAAACTTCAGGCGAACAAGGAAGAAAAAGACCATGCAAGAGCTAGGGCAGAATCCACTGGCCTCCTAGAGGATTTTATCTCCTTAAGAAAAAGCCAGGCCATTTTAAAGAAAGAGATATTAATTGCAAAACGCTCTTCTTTTAGCAAGTTTCTGGAAAATATGAACTATCGAAAAGATGGACCAAAAGCTTTTAGATTTCTATCTGCTTTAAATGGAAAGCGCACACAACCTTGCAAACAACCTTTGAAGGTTAGCAATAGAACTTTAACCTCAAACAAAGATATTGCCAAAGCTTTTTTGAAACTTTATCGCAAGATTAGTAATTTTTACCCGATGACTAGGATTAAGAGGGGTGAAATAAATCCCTCTGGTGATAACCCAGAATGGAACTGCCTTTTCTCCTCACCTTTCACTGTTAAGGAATTTCAGAGAGGACTCCGTTGCTTGAAGAGAGGAAAGAGTGCTGGTCCTGATGGCATCCTCCCTGAATTTATTTTGGAACTTGGCGTTAAAGCTGAACAAGCAATCCTTAATTTTATAAACAAAACTTGGGGTGGCACTTTCCCGAGCCTCTGGAGAAAGGCTGATGTTACACCTATTTTGAAACATGGGAAAGACCCGACGGACATCCAAAATTTTAGACCAATTTCCTTGACCTGTATCCTAAGTAAGCTAACTGAAAGAATGGTCGTTGATTGGCTTCAGTTCTTTTTGGACTATGGTGGCCATATCTCTGAGAGACAGGCTGGTTTCAGATGTGGATACAATACAACGGACAGATTGTCAGACTTTCACAGCATATTAAGGACGGCTTCAGAGGAAGCAAAGTACACTTGCTGTCTTCGTTGATTTTAAATCGGCGTTTGACAGAGTTTGGAGAAAATTGCTTCTTAAGAAGTTGCTTCATAAGAAAGTGTATGGAAATCTTTTTAAGTGGATTAGTGATTTTCTTTCACAAAGATTCTTGAACATTAAATATGGCAATTCTCAATCAGGGTATGGACAAACCAGGCAGGGCCTTCCACAGGGCTCAGTTTTAAGTCCTGTCCTCTTAAATGTTATGGTAAATGACCTTTTGTGCTACATTAAAAAATGCTGTTCCAGAGACTGAATCTTTGTTGTATGCCGATGACCTTGTTATTTGGTCTACTGGCTCTGATATCTCTATGCTGGAGAAAACACTCAATTTGGCTTTAGAGGCTTTGGCAACCTGGACCCTGGACAACGAATTCAAGGTTAACCCAGAAAAGACAAATTTTGAACTTTTTACCCTTAGTACCAAAAAGTTTAATGTTAACTTGGTATACAAAAATAGTACTCTGGGTCGGACCGATTGTGCTACCTACTTGGGCATAACTCTTGATACCAGACTGATCTGGACTAAATACATAAATCAAGTGGCAGATAGCGTGACAAATCACCTTGGTCTATTGAAACGTCTCGCTGGAATAAAGTGGGGTTCATCCCAAAGTGTCCTTGCTTCCACTTTTACTTCTTACATTAAACCAGTATTTGACTATAGTTCAGAAATCCTTGTTACTGCCTCGGACAGTGCGTTATCAAAACTCGATTTGGTTCAAAACAAAGCACTAAGGCTCATCACTGGTTCTGCGATCTCAACCCCTATTTCTGCCATGCAGCTCCAGACAGAAATTTATAATTTATCTGACAAACGAACTTATACTGTCCTTTCTCTTGGTGAAAGATAGTTGAGAAAGGAGCACTTTTGGCCGTACTACAATCTTCCTCAAACTAGACTTAAATCTCAACATTTCTTTCTTTTTGAGTACCGGAGACTTACAGAGATCTTTGAGGTCTCCAACTCCAAACTTTGCATCTATAGGCCACCTGTTTTTACGGGCCTTCTGAGATATGCCACTGCCAGATTCGACTTGGTACTGCCTGTTTGGAAATCGGACTTCCACCAGACCGAGTTGTATCCTATCGCTCTGGCCACTATACATGAGAGATACCCTTACGAGCAATGGCTGCAGGTTTTTACTCATGGATCCGCCACTTTTTCAACTGGTAGAGCTGGAGCTGGTGCTTACTCCAAATATTTCAGCCTTAGAGAACCTCTTGACACTTGGGCAGATAATTTTGATGGAGAAGTGTTTGCAATCCTTATGGCTATTACAGCTATTGGTGAACCATCTGAACAAAACATTGTTATCTTTGTCGATTCTCAGGCTGCTATTCAGACCATTTCTGAATATAATTTAGATCTCTCTGCACTCGAATTTAAGTGTAAACAACGCATTGACTCTCTTCTTTGTTCTGGAAGAGAGGTAGTCCTGCAGTGGATCCCTGGCCACTCTGGCATTTACAGAAATGAACGGGCTGACATGTTGGCTAGAGAGGCTTCAGCACTGCCATCCATCTTCTCATCCAGTTCCCCTTAGAAATGCAAGGCGGCTTCTTAAGAGCAATTTGCAGGCACAGAACAATATCTGCTCTTAGGGACTTAGCTGATGGAAAATCCTGGGCTAGCCTTCTTGATGACCAGCAGCGCTCTCACCTTTCCCTCCTTCCAGAAGCTGAGGGAGTTGCTTGCCTTAGATTAATTACTGGACATGACTACTTGCAGGCCCATTTATTTAAAATTAACTTGGTCAATTCACCTCTTTGTGTGCTCTGTAACACTTCGCCTATGACTGGGGAGCATTTATTTGATTGCCCCTCTCTTCTTGACATTCGTTCCTCTGATGACTTTTGTGCCCTCTCACCTTCTGGAGCTACTTCAGTATTGTATTGGACTGCAAGACGCCTTATGTCTGAGAAGACGATGGCGGGCGTAATTTTAAAAAGAAAAAAAATGTCTCTACCCGTGTTATTTGTATGGTTACACTACTTCGTTCATCACCATGTTAATTAGTATACTTGTTGATTGTGAAGTGGGCTCAGTTATACAGTTTTTAAATGTAACAAAGGTTAGTTCTGCTGAAATTCACCAACAGCTCATCGTGAAGGTGTAATGCATGATGGAAATGTGCCTAAATGGCGTAGACTTTTTAATAAAGGAAGAACAAATGTTAATGACAAAGAACGATCTGGATGGCTTGTTCTCATGAATGGAAAGTACTGATTTAGCACACTCAGACTTTCATCTGTTTCCAAAACTTAAGGAATTTTCCTGTGGAAAGCTTTGGTAAATGATGATCACATGTTGAAAGAAATTGTTTCTAACTAGTTTAACGGTCAAACAACAGAGTTCTTTAAAAATGGAAACTAAAAACTGGTGCTTGACTTGACTAATGTTTCAATGCTAATGGTGACTATGTTGAAAAGTGAACAATTTACGTTCCCAAATAAAGCTTCTTTTACTCCATTACAAAACGGTTCTTACTTTTAAAAAAATTACCCTTGTACATTTGAAATCTATAAACACTTTTTTGTTTATATGATGTGTAAACAATATACATACATTTGATGTATTAAATTATTTTAAGACCTTTGATTTACACATACTATTCTGGAAATGATAACTACCCTTTCCTTAATAATAAATGTAATTTACCTTTCTTCGATCTCCGGTAACAACTCTGATGCTTGATCAGGATGTTCTCGTGACAACTTTTGATATGAACTCCATGTGCTGAGATATCCAATATAATCAGCCAGTGAGCTTTCACTTTCATTTACAAGTTCAACCCTATTTGAATAAACAAAAGCACTCATTTCATAATAAGTATTTCTGCATTTACAAAAAGAGTATAACTAATACTAAATGCAAAAATAGTTTTTATTTTCTTTATCCTCTTATATTGTTCCCTCCAGTTTTTAAACTCATGCTGCTGCTAATTGTCATGGAATTTCTTAGAAAAGAATTATTTTTATACTATAGCATTCAATTTTCTTCAGTTCTCAACCTCAAGACATCTGGTTACTCATCGAAATTTACTCAAATTGAGAAACTTTTTGAGTCAAAGGATTTAATTTGCCTTCCATATTCTATGTGTCTTATAACAAATAGCAGGTACTTACCTACCTTTTAAATGAGTCATCACTTTTAATAACCCAAAGAAAAAAATATAAGGTTTAGAATTTGTTCAAGTTAGAAAAGTTCTCTCTCTAAATAACATAGATTTTCTTTCACTTTTACAAGAATCAATGAAGAGAAGTAACTTTAATTTTTGTAACTATAACTTGATTAATATTTAAATTTAATTTCACATAATTATGATTTTTTGTTACAATTTAAACTAAATAAATTTATGTTAATGACTTTTAATGAATCCAATTGTTGTCCTGAGAAAATACTATCTCATTTTTTATGCAAAATAGATTTTCTGTTAGTGAACTAAGCTGTTTATTCCAATCAATACTTTCAGGTACTGGTGTGATAACATTAAATGGTAGACACTTTAGTTTTAAATCCACTAGAATTTCTTATAATTAATTACTGTATTTCAATCAAAGGTCAAATATTATTTTACTATCAAAATATTTTATTCAAATCAATGAATAAATTAAAATAATTCATCACCAGTAAAAGCACAGTAGACTATTAACTTGAGTTTTATAATGCATGAAATTATTATAACTAAAGGTTTTACTTTTAAAAGGTCGTAAAAAAAGAAACACTTGTCAGAATGACCTAATAATTCAGGAAGCACTAAGTATATAGGTAAAACAATAGTAATTATTTTTGCCCAATAAAAGAATAACGCCAAAATTGTTTACCTAATAGAAATAGATATTCCAGTATTTGTCATAAGACAAACATGCTAATGAAAAATGTGACTAGTTGTTGTGATATTGTTTACAGCCCGTGCAAGTTTTAAAAAAAAAGTGTCACAGTGCTTATGAAAAAATCATTATCTAACTTTGTAAAGGATAAAAACAGTTGAAAAAGTAAAAAAAAAATCGATATTTCCTAGGGCACAGGTAGAAAACTGACAAAGCTATACTAAATTGTGAATCATTTTCCTAATAACTTTTTCTAATTCGGTAGCAGAGTATTCTAACCATTATTTAACTGCTAAAAACACTTGTACAATTCAACACTTATACATATTGTAATTTTCCTAATCATATTTTTAATTACATAAAATTATATTTATTAAATTTTAATTAATATAAATTTTTACTAACCTCTTTTGGTTTAAAAAAGGAAAATTAACATCTGTATATTTATTTTGCACAATATATCTTTCTTTATCCCAATAGGCACCTAATTTCTCTTCATGACAATACTGAAATGAAATGATTTTTACACTAAATAAACAAAATTTTTACACTTAATAAACTTTTGAATACATAAAAGTAGTTTTAAAGGAAAGAATATCATGAAAATAAATTAGAATTATTCTCTTTTTTTTTAGTCATAAAAATATTTTGAAATTTTACTATGCAAAGGTATTAGTAATAGATAATTAAATATCTAGCTGTTTAATATCTGAAATGAAAACTTCAAGGGAATTTGAATTCTTAAAAAAATAGAAATAATGACACTAATAATAATCTTTGTTCAAAATTTTATTTCTGCGTTTAGTAACATTTATTTTTTCTCATTTCTGTTTCTTTATTTGGGAATTGTGTGTTGTTTCAGACTTTTAAGGTCTGCGACGTACCTAAATTTCCATCACTGATCGCAGTTGAATGTTCTTATTTTTGACTTTATTGCAACTACAAATTATTATTTTTTTTAAAAATATATATATATATATTTTCCAGTTAATTAAAAAATAGAGAAAAGTGAATCTTTTTCCTACACAACTGGTAAGACAACAGAAAAATATCTTTTTCTTTAATTTTCTGTATTTAATGCATTACCTTAAAGAAAATGGTTTATAGTTAACCATTCTTATCAGTAGATTATGAATTTACTGTATTTGTTAATCTAAAGCAAGTCTAGTACATAGATGATAGTTAAAATTTTACTGTAACAAGCAAGTTTAGTCAATAATTTTGTCAACAAATCACGTTTTAATTGCATGTGATTATATGAATCCGTGTTAAGGGGGGGAGGGAAAGAGAAATTTTGTAGACTGTAAATGACACTGTGGATACTTTATTAAAATACCACCAGAAGAAATATATGAGCAATTAAAGTAATAAATCTTAGAATAAGAACTCTGTCAGAATGAGTGTTATGATTTCTAATTATGTTATTCATATAAAATAAATTGTTCCTGTAATTTTTGGTAATTACATACTTTAAATTCAGATTTTTAAAAACATTGATTTTAAGAAAATCTTTCTATGCTAACACACATTACAAAAAAAAAGTTTATTAGAGAATTCTTTGAAACTTTGTTAGTAGATGTCGTATTATGTTAACTCTTTTGTACTAAAAGTTAAAGAGCCAATTTATTTTTATTATGCTTTAAGTAAGAATGTTTTGAATTTCTCTTTAAAAAGTCAATATTCAGCATAGTTTAACTTTGTATTTTTGATATTTTGCAATGATTTTAATTCAAAATGCAGGTAATCATTTTATTCATCTAGAAAAATAAACTATTTTGATATTTATGCAGTATAATTTGTTGTAGAGCTGTATATAATTTGTAGTTTTTATACTCCTATATGTTCTTATTTTTGAAAAAGTATTTTATAAATAAGTTTACTTTTGATTTATAATTTTAAGACTCCTGCTTACTAACAATAAAATAAAAATTATAATTAAGGCTGTTTCCCTAAAAAATTATGTTGAACCCAGTTTGATACCTTAAAAATTTATAAGTGGAATGCATAGTGGCTTACATCAAAAACACATTTATAGATTTCACTATTCTTTTTATTATCATCCGTCTTTGGAAGTGGAATCCAATATCCATAAGCTGCCACTACTCCACCTGGAATAAGAATTCTTCTAATTTCCTTGTAAAGGTTGTCCAGAGGGACAAACCAATGAATGGATTGACATAATGTAACCAACTGAACTGAAGATGAGAGAACTGGCAAATTGTCACCTTCAGATACCCTAAAAAAATTCATTTCAATTACCTTTTTTTTATTGATTTTCCACTTTAGTTAAAATACAGTTTAATAAGTAATTTTTTTTATGGATTGAGCTGCAATCAAAACTAAATGTGTCATACAATAATTAAGCAGCAATAAAATTTAAAATAAATTGCATAATATAGTAAAATCTTAATACCATAATATTTTGGGAACCAATAAAAATACATATTGTTGTAGATATTGCTATATCAAGGGCTTATGGCCGGGTTAGACTGGTCGGTAGGACGCTGGGCCCATGTCCGAGAGTTTGTGGGTTCGAACCCCGCCAGCCGAAGTTAAGTGACTGATGCACGTTAAATCTGTCAAGTCGCAAAAGTCCTCCATGTTCCCATAACAAATCAACACCTCTGGTGGTACTGGATTGGAGATCGATCGTTCTCTGATTCAGGTCAAAATTACAATCTGTGGATGTATGAATGGGTTTGCCCTATAAACGGGTGCAACGTATGGTGTGGCAGAAGTAGAATTCTTGGCCATAGATGGCGCCACTGAAAAACAAGAAACGCACACTCTGCCTTAAATTTGCTCGGTTTAACCAAGCAGGCTTGCCCATGTGGCAAATGGCATTAGAAACAACAAGGGCTTATATATTTTGGGAACACATTAAGTTGTTTATCTTGAAACGAAAGTTGCTTTTGCTGTGCCATTTCAAGGAAAAATACACTCGTGAAAAAAAAAGAAAGTCAAATGTTTTGTTTACAAATCAAACACATTTTAAATTGAAAGTTGAAGATTTTTTATAAAATAATCAAATTTTGTATATACAAAGTAAGAAAACACTTGGTTTGTTAACCTGGAATGTATGGTCATTCCTATCTCATAATCAGGTTTTTAAGTGAACGGAATGAAAACAAATAAGAATGTTATATGTCTGATTTCTAGTAGATAATGGAGACATTTTCTATAAAGAAAGCTCTTTGGAGTCTTCTCTTTGAAGGACCGGGTTATATTGAAATCTGAACAGTAGCCATTCTTACATTATAGAACAGAAATAAATCGGAAATCAACAGTAAAATCTTCTCCTGTCTAAAAAAATGGATAAATACCAAAAGATAATAAAATTGTGAATTTTTTCAGCATTTGTAAATCAAAATATTATAAGAATAACATTAAAAGTAAACAAAAAAAAATTTCCGGGATTTATTTGGAGAGTATCACAATATTGAGAGAATTATATTAATTCATATGCAAATTCAATGGGATCACGAAATGTTAGGTATATTGTACTAGAGGGAGTTAGTGTATGTGATGGAAAAAGAATCATTGGATATCTTTGTGGCAAGAGTTCACTATATTTGATTATTTTAAGTAAATCTTCAATAATTCTTAAAAATTTCTTTGCAACAAAATTTTTTTAAGATTAAGGCAAGTTGTTACGGTGTTTGTTTGAATTATTTGTCACTGATGCATACTTAACTTATAAAAGATATTTTAACAGAATTTAAAATATACTTTCTAAATTATTCACATATTCTAGAAAACTTCTTGCGTCAAAATTAGAGCTATTTTAAATTTAACATTTTTAAAGATTGACAATGCAAAAATTTATATCACGAACTTGTGAACATTTTTTTTTTCATAACAATTTTGAAAATATTCATTTCCTGTGAGATTTTAACATGAATGATATGATCTATAAATTTATAGGCTTCCTTTTAAATCCCAAACTACATATGTACTTATTAATTTTCATAGGAAATTTTTCTTACACATTTATCAAAATTAATTTACAATTTGGAAACTATTTTATAAATATATTCTTAAGAATTTTTGTTAGTCAAAAAAGAACAAAATTTCAGAGTTTCTTCTGCTTTTAATAAGTCGTAGGTACTTTCCATTAATACCAATGTAGGTATTAATAATGGTACAATTGTAATTTTCCAATATTTTTATAGTTCTTATGCATAATGTTTTCTAATGCAGGAAGAAGAAATGTTCTAGTTATATTTCATACTACAGTACAGAACCCGTTATCCGGAAATCAGAAAATCGGAAAACCAAAAAACCGGAACGAAATTCNTGATAAAAAAAAAAAAAAAAAATCTTTATGATTTATTTTAAATTTGATACCATATGATAATATTAAATTTAAAAATATTCATAAATTATCTTTAATGTTTTTCCATTGAACTGCAATGAAAATTATTGATTGTTTTTTTAAACATCTGATTTTCTAACTTTAATAATTAGGTGAAAATAGTTACTGATAAGCTACAAAATCAAGGCTAACTACTTACTTGTATTCAATATTTGGTAAAGCATGAATTTCCTGAGCACATTTTATTTGTGCTTCACTAACATCTACACCTAATAAGCTTTTAAAGTGCTGTGACAAAACAAATGTACTCTGGCCACTTCCACATCCAATATCAATTGCTTTGCAAAAAGGAGGCTCTAGCTTTGGGGGAAAGATATTAATAAGAATTGACTTGAAACTTTAATATTAGCATCAATGTACTATATTTTGTTACAAAACAAATATTTAGAGTAATTTGTATTTAATTGATTAATAAGAATAGTAAATTAATGTAAATGACGATTCATAAAATAAATTTAAATAAGAGTTTTCCTTCATTTATTTTGTATTATATGTATTTATGTTCATGAAAATTCATTAAGCGAAAATGAATGCATCTGACATATTTTTTTTTTAACTAGTTGAATGTTTAATGAAAATTATTAATATTCTAAAGAGAGAGAATGTCCGGGATTTCCTACCTAAGATATTAATTTTACAGAAACAATTTTTAAAATAGATTTTTTACAATAAAATTACTAATAAATTTTTCTTAAAGGAATTCAATTTACAAAAGGGCTCATTTTTTATGCTGGTGAAATAAAAATAATGCAAAATATAGATTAAAAAGCACAAACAAAAATTTTAAATGCAGCTGTTTTAGTATTATCAGCAAATAACATCATCAGTATACAAGACCCATAGAGTAAGAGAAATATTAGATTCAGTGGATTGTTTGATGTCTTCAAAATTTATATGGTGTAACCTATAGTTACCTTATATTAAAAAAAAAAAAATTATATTAATATCAAGCAAAGGAGAAATATTTTTGAAATGTAATGAAAAGCTAGATTTCAAAAAAGTTAGATCGTTTTTCAATCAAAAAGCATGTAAAAATATTATTTAAGATTCGAAAGTTCTTTTTTACGTGTTTTCATAAATATTTACTGCAGTTACACTGCTTCCCTATTTACATTTCTCCTATCAAAATGTCTGTAGTTTGTAATGCTTATCCATCTCAGGAAGGGAATTAACCTCTATCCAAACCAACTTTGGAAATATACCCAATACATTATACAACAGTACCTAATACTAAAATATTAGTTGTACCACAATTAATAAAGCCTAACTGGAATAACTTGGCAACTTTTTTTAATCCCCCTTCCCACAAAAAGTTCCCAATTTTCTAATGATTTGTTAATAATCGAGGTTTTTTTTAAAAAAAACATTTATTTTAAATGAAAGATTTCGAAATATAATTTCAAAATTGTAAAGTAAATTTTGATAACATTTTAAAATTAAATTTATAAAGAATGCACTTGCTTGAGACAAAGAAAAGATAAAGAAATAAAGATAAGATAAAGAAATCAAGAAAGATGTATTGATATTGAGAAATATTCAGAGATTTTAATGGTTTTACACACTAAAAAGTACCTTAATTTTTTCTTTCATGTATGTAATAATGGTTTCAATCAATTCTCGAGGTGGATAAGGCCGAAATTGTGAATAAAGTTTTGCATGTTTCGCTCCTTTAAAAAGAGCAGACGACATTTTTTATGACAAATTCTCTACGTTGCCATTCAATGCATCCTAAGATATGTGGTGATCTTTAATGTCACTAAGACTCCTATATTGGCGATCAAAATGGGTTACAGGTGGCGTAGAGCAGAACTCTCTGCCTATGGTGACATTTCGTATAATTGCACCATTGGCGTGGTTGATAAAATTTTTGGGGTGGATAGATAAATAAATGAACGAAAATACACTAACATATAGATTGATAAAAGAATCTTTCTTCTTAATGTATGGCAAAAACATGACATCAAACATAAAATAATTTTGCTTCACAATCAAATCAATATCCTTCACTAACACTCGATATAAAATTATGAAAACAGAAACATTTTGATATAAAATAAAGCGCTCCGTAATCTACGTCCTCATATATAATTTTAGAACCATCTTTAAGCATTCCGTTAAAATAATATATACACATTAAAAGTCACAAACCACTATTTTAGAGCTGGAAAAACGATATGGAAATCTTAAGATAAACGGAATTGAAGACTTAAAAAACCAGTTCGATTTTATTTATTTTATAACCATCATTGGACAACCGGTCAAATTATGGGGTTTACGACTAGTAATGTTCAATTCCGTAGTCTTATAATTTTGGAAGACAAGAGAATTTCTGGATCAAGCATTGGGAGAATTTTGCCTTCGTGAAGGACTTTTTGATGGAACTAGCCCACATTTGAGTTACACGGAGAAGGGAACCACGAAAACATCCCACGTTTAGTCTAAGCGCACGGGGACTGTCAATTTTGATAATTCTCTGCTCAGAGTCGTGAGAAATACAGTACAAATATGGACACACTGATGCTGATGAAGGAGCCTTTAGAGGATACATTCCGAAAACCTATGACTAAAAAGTTGTAACCTGCAAAAAAAACTAAGAGCGACACATCTGTATATACACAACATGAAGAAACACACTTTATATATTTAACACAATCTTTACTTCCTCTCCTCAACTATTAACATTATATGCTAGTCTCTTCATATTATTCTGAACTATAATATTAATTTTAAAAATGTCATTTTAAGTAATAATGTTTCCTGAGCAGCATGAAATGTTAACACAAAATCTATAACTTCTAGCAAAACTAGTTGTTTTCAACTAAAATTTAATAAAGAAATATAAGTTCATTCAAATTCTTCATATTTCTTGCAAATGATCATTTGCTTCCTTAGAAAGTAAACAAATAATTTTATGCCTAGACAAAAAAAAAATTATTTTAAATAAAAGCATAACAATCTGTCTACTGAAATTAATGAAAATAACAATAAACTTAAGATTAAAAATAAAGAGTAAACCAAACACAGTCATCTAATTAGAGGAAAATAAAAAATGTATATACTTTCTTATAAATTTAATGCTTTATTTCATTCATACCAGACATAGAGTATAGATATATATTAAATCTTACGTTATTAATAATATAAAAATATCAAAAGAAACGATTAAAAAAAAAAACCAGCTATTCCAAGCTTTGAAACATTCATTAGAATAGTGCCAGGAACATTGCAGTTTACAAAAGAGATACTTCAGAAATTCTAAAATTCATCTTCTGAAATATGAAGATTGTATAAAATAATTGTTGAATTAAGTTATAATAAGTGAAGGTTGTTGTAAATATAAAACAAAATTAAGAGCAGCACTTCTAGACAGATATATCTTCACTTCAAACAAACTTTCCCAAACAAATCAAAAGGATGCGGGGCACATTAGAGGAAATGAGTGAAGAAAAGCATACTGACATGCAATATATCAATTCTGTAATTAACCTTAGTATTATTATCTGTATCATTAAAGCAAATTTCAATGTTTTAAACATAATTACATTCAACATTACTTACAAGTAACTGAAATACATGCCAATCGAACATTTCTGTCTCATTACAATCAGAGTGCAAAGTAAACAAACCTAGAATCGCTAGAAAAATCTTTATAGTAATGAAAGATCCGAAACTGTATTTCCAACAAGCACTGACTTGGCAATAATGACAATTCTCAGGTCAGAGTCGAGAAAAATACAGTGTACTGAAATACAGTACACTGAAAAGCTGACGAAGGAACATTTAAGGGGATACATTCCATAAACCAATAACTACAAAGTCATAACCTGTAACAAAACTAAAAGCAACACATCTGAATATACAAATCCTGAAGAAGCACAATTTGCGTGACAACTAAATATATTTAACACAATATTATATATTAGAACACAATATCTGCTTCCTCTCCTAAACCAATGAAATTTATACTAGAATTTTCATATTTTTCAAAGTTATAAAATTAATATTAAAAATGTCATAATGTCTGAGTTAGGATACTATATGGAAATTGAACATAGTTCTAAAAGAAAGAGTAGTAGAAATTAAAAAAAAAATATTTTTGACAATTTAATACGAAATATATTAAGAATTGGGAAATTATCGTAATATATTCCTATAAAGCTGAGAAAAGGAGGAGAGGGAAGGGGGTAGGGTCAAGTCATGGAACCGGTCTTCTCCCCAGATGGCGTACTCGAGCGTTGCGATCGTGAAATCTAAAACTTCTACCAAACAGTGTTGCCAGATTGGGCTACAAGTAGCGGATTGGGCTACTTTTAAAAGTCCCCGCTACTGAAAATTGAATTTTCGCTACTAGCTACTTTTTGGGCTACTTATTATTTTTCGAACGCTACAAATCTTAAATATGCGTTACTTTTTTTCCTTACAGAAATATATATATTTTTTTCAATTTTTCCCATTCCCATTATAAAATGATTCTGAAAGTTTGCAGCTTTTTACCATTTTTAAAAAGAACATTTTTGTTGTTCTTGTAAACGTTCTCGCTTCAGTTTTGGATTCTTGATATGTTTTACTGATGGAGTCTATAATCTTTCCATGTTTATGTTTCAAATCGTAGACACGGGAAATCGCAAAGATATATATGGAAAAATGCACGATGAGTATGATGGGGATTGGGGAAATTTTTTTTTAACTCCAACTATTATTAACCGTTTATCTTCTGGAAAAATGAATCACGTTACTCGCTTTGAAACTCAGAAAAATTAAATCCAAAGTCATTAAACCTGATGAATGAAAATAGTTGTTGTGAATGACAATGAGTTTCCAAAAAATATCGTACTGTTAAATGCTTTTTAGTGAATTCATTTCACTTTTGTAAATCACGATCTATTCACAGTTGCACGAAAAATAGGAAAATTTTTATATCTCTCTAGAGCAGGGATGGGCAAACTACGGCCCGCGGGCCAACTGTGGCCCGCCGGAAGGTTTTATCCGGCCCGCGGATATAATTTTAATTTGCCGATCAGTGGCAATATACATAAACAATATACATCCATTTTCTTGTCAACTATTTAAAATTATTTCTGTTTTTCCTTTTT